GCACGAAGAACCTTCCGATGTCGATGTCATCTTTCTTCTCCCCACCTCCTTGACGTCGAAGGCCGTAGACGAGACAATCGCTCAGTATGTCGTATCTATATCTTTTTATATCTTTATCTATTATTTTTTATTTTTATATTTTTTATATAAAAAGATAAATACTTTTTTTAATAGTGATCCTGTACGCCTAACTTTACATTCAAGCACTGTCTACGCATGGCTTAGATAGTTTGTCTTCATCAATACACATAGAATAGGAATAGGGTGGAATAATGCCACCGAATATAGTACTGCTCGGTATAACATACTGTATCATACCGAGCAAAGCTTGAAATACCGATACAGTATGAAATTTCAATCATTGGCTCCAACCATAAACGTAACTGTTTGGGGTTTACTTTTTCTTCATAGATCATCCCATGACCAAGTTCTAAAGAGTTACAGATAAATCCAAGCATTGTTATTTTAAATATACTTTGCCCAAAAGATGCATATAAAATAAACCAAATATACAGAAAGAACAATCATAAAAAGAACCTGTTCAACAATCTAAATACATAACTATGAATAGGCAGTCAATAGTACCTGATTCATAATTTAAATATTCTGTGACACTTATCGTCTTCATCATGGTCCACCTTTCGCCAGTTCCAAGTAGAGTAGAAGGAAACATTACCTAGAACACAACAGCATATTAATATCTAAAGAAATACTTTCTGTCAAGGAGTGACTTCAGATACATAACAAACACAGTAATGTATGTACATCCAGGTCTGAATAAAGAGTCCAAAAATACAGCAGCAGGCAAAATTCACCCTGAAATTAGTGGTTCAACACTTAAGGTGTTAGAATTTATGAGTGGTTAACCATATAAGTATAAGTATGTACTGAACTATTTCGTAATGTGACAGACCCTTTGAATAAGTTTTTGGACTTTAAAATAACCCAAACACACAGGGAGGTAATAGGGCTTATAACTGGCTCGTTGTTAGCATGATGTGAAGTTGGCATTTTATATATCTCCTCCATGCTGATATATACGCAAAGATGAACTATTCCTTAAAATTCTAAGAACATATCATGGGATTTCATGGTGTTACAAAAACCATGATGCTACTATCAGTACACTTGGTGTCTTATTCCTCTGATATTGTCAGTATTCACTCAACTAGACATCATTATACATGAAATGCCTCATGAACTTACTTGTAATATTCACATTTTAACACTGATGAAACAAAAATTAGCTTGTTGAAAGCTTATCTATGTGTGCTCATTTCCCAACTATATTAGACACTAGAATAAACTCAGATTTACGTTGCCCATATGCCCCATACTAATGCAAACTTGCCACGTATGTGAAAAAGAAAATTGTCACAGAAACCCTACAGTTGGTGACCAAGTATAATGAATCCATGGGTTGATAAAAAAAAAATATCTCTTGCAACTTAAGTAGCATACTCAAAATCCCAAATTCACCATGCTAAAGTGATTACATTTTAGATCGCAAGCACTTGAAGAATAGACTTCAGATTGTGTCAAATTTTGTCACAATACAAATACAATGGTATACATAAGATAGATTGTGTCTTTGAATGCTAATGTACGAATGAAGAGCAGAATTTTACTGTGTGAAATGGCACGTTATCCTTGCCCATAAATTGATACAACTCCACATTATCAGGATTCTTCCACCATTGCTCCCACTCGGAAGTGTAGCATGCAGTGATAGAAATATATCCAATAGGGGCATCAAACCACACATAAAACACCTACACAGATATATACCAAGGGTCAATTGTTAGGGTTGATACCACTATGACATTATCTCTTAGATCTCTTAAGAGCATAAAACTGAAAAGTGCATGAAGCATCAATCAGTTTCCATTATAGATGTCAATCTAAATGCTTTTAAATTGCAAGGATTTCTTGTACCTTATCTTTATACTTCTCATGTGGCACTGGAACTCCCCATTTAAGATCCCTTGTAATACAACGAGGTCTCAGACCTTCTTTCAGCCATGCATTTGTCGCTTGAATAGCATTTTGGCTCCAAGATCCAGCCACTGACATGGTGTTAATGTATTCTTCCAGCTTCTCTCTCAGCAAGGGTAGCTCTAGGAACAAATGATCTGTATCACGTATGCGAGGAGCGGTACGACACACCTAATATGATAATAACTCCACTTAGGTGTATAAACAAGCCAAATACATCATTCACGGTAAGAGCAATCTGACACAAAATATACTACTTACACTTGAAGGTCAAAACAATAGGCTGAAACTTGCTATATCTTAGTAGACAATTACCTTGCATTTGGGATCTTTCAGTTCAGTTGGATTTAACAGTTTTCCACATTTTTCACATTGGTCACCACGTGCAGAATCATAATTACAATCCAATGTAGGGCATGTACCCTCAACAAGCCGATCCGCCAAGAAGCGTTGGCATGTGTCACAATATAGCTGCATTTGATTTCAAAAGGCAATAATTTTTGCCAAAAATGACAAAATAAAATACAGGCATAACTTGTAAAATGCACCCGATTAATTCAAATCACAGTAATTACAAAGCTATTAACATACCTGCTGCATGGTATTTTCAGAAAGCCACTTGTTATCCAGTAGTTTATGGAAAATTGCTTGGCAGACTTCGGTCTGCTGAGGAGCGGATGTACGTCCAAATTTGTCAAAGCTTATATCAAACCACTCATAGACGTCTCTGTGAATGGCATGGTATCTAGAAACATGCAGAAAATTATATTTAAAAGGTCATAACAGTACAAGTTTAGACCAAAAGTAACATAGAAGACTACTTTAACCACTCATCAACCTCGTGTGGATTGCATGGTCTCTAGAAATATGAAGAGAATACATTTCGAAGACCATAACAAACAATGCAGAATAAATGTTGATTGATTCCCATTTCTTATCACTTGCATCCACAAAAAAAAACAGTGTCTTTCTTCTATGTGACAATGGCCATTTGTTGGAAGTTTCAAAAGATTGCCAAGGCAAATTACCTAAAATGTAATCCTTTTTCGGTTTTTCTTTCTTTGACAGAAGCACTCATATATAATTTCAGGAATTAAAATGATTCAGAACTATTTAAGGAAAATACTCAAATAGACTACATACATACAAATATAACTACCATCACTAAACTATCAGATGCTTTACTATTCAATTAAGCAATCAAAACAGATGTATGGATCGCATTTCACTCACTTGTCACAAATCTCCTTCGGGGAGCAATTCTCCTCCATAGCCTTCGTCTCAGTGGCAGTCCCATACTCATCCGTCCCACACATATATATCGTGTTGTACCCCCGGAGTCGGCAGTAGCGAGCAAACACGTCCGCACTCAAAACGCCTTAACCAAACCAAAAATCCGTCAACTTTCTCGATCACACCACCAAATACTCCCAAAAATAACCCAATTTTTCAACCCAACAAAATGAAAAGACAACAACTTCAGACGAAATTATCAAAGAAAAAAATAAAAAAGTATACATCCGATGATGTTGCCGAGGTGAGGGACGTTGTTGACGTAAGGCAGCGCGCTGGTTATGAGGATGTTGCGGCGGCCGGGGATCGGGAGCTTGGGTGCCTTCTTAGCCGAGGAATCTGCCATGGATGCCTCGATCTAACGGAGAGAGGAAGATGGATCAAAGAGTAACGTCAAGCCGTTCTCTCCCGGTGCTTCTTGGATCGATTCGTGCGCATCGAGTGGGCGAATGGAGTCGTCGTTTTATTGGTTCGGAAAACCCTAGGAAGAGTTGGGAGCTCGTCGCCGGGCCGTGCGGGTTTAATGGGCCTTCCGAAACGGAGTTGTAGGCGTAACAATTCCGCCGACGTGTCGTGATCAAGGCCGTCAAATTATCCCTTGCACTCCTCGGTTTTTTTGCCCCTCAAAAACGTTTCTCTCTCACCACCATATCAAAGGGTGAGATGATCAATTTTGATCATATATATATATATATATATATATATATATATATCTTCATATTAGAAAATATTCATATTTTTTATCTTATTTTACTTCACTTCGAATGGAGTCGACCTTCCCATGATTAAATTTTAGTTTGCTATAGGCAAAAAAAAAAAATGTTCCTCTTACATGTCATGCTATGCTCAATAGACGCATCATCATGTGTCGAGTTACGATTGATCGAAAATAATAATTATATCGTTATTATGTATTAAGTCTTATACATACTAGAGCACAGTGCCTTAGTCCAAGATGGATTCATTGGGTATATATACATTGTATGTTTTAATTCATATGTACGATATGAAATCCTTATGTAAGGGGATATATTTTATCTAGTAAGATCATATTAGATGCCTTATGTTTTTGTCCTGAGAGCATGCATTGTGCCAAAGGGGATGACTTGGCTTCATCGAAATGCTTTGGGTTACACACTTGCACATGCTCTTTTATCTCGAGCAAATGCATCACAGATCAAAGAGAGACACACACTTTAAATAATATTGTTAGATGTTTATTTGTCTTTGGTGGATGCATTATGTGCAATAGAGAAGCTTTTGGATCGCATTAGATATTTTAGATGGTTTTTTATATCCTATCGTAACAATATAATATAAATATAAATATAAATGACACTATATCAATATTAAACCACATACTATACCATCATCCATGTTAAAAAAAGTGATGCAGTGGGAACTTCAAAAGAGTTAAAACAATATGATTTAGCGTTCAGCCAAGTTTTCATTTTCCATGGAGCTTGAAACAGATCAAGCATTAAGCAATAAAGTGAAGAAAAATGATGCAGAAAAAGAAAAGACTATGAAAGGAGAGACAAACATCATCCTATCACCACAAGCTTTCTGGTTCCCCCCTGGTTATGTGATTTAAGATGATGATTTGAAGAGTACACAGAATAATTTGTTGATGTGGAAGAAATCACATTCTCCCTTCTAATATCATGGATCTTGTGTTCATTCTCAATCTATTATTGGGCCAGAACAAAATATTCTCAGAGAATCTGTCTCATCATTTATTAGATCTTGATAGAAAAATTTACAAGGCTTCCATGCATTCAAATTGGATTTATCAGTCAAGATCAGAACATTCCGAGGACACAACAACTAGAAATTCCCACTGCGCTTGCCCTTGTTTTTGCCGTACAAGCGGAAGAGGTTGAAGGCAGACATGGAGGAAACAGCCACCATGCAGAGGCTACCTAGGAAGGCACTCACCATGCCCCCCCCACTTTGGTTGCAGAATTTATGGTAGAGGTTGCATACCTTCATCCACTGGAGCTCTGTCTGGCCGAACTGGCTGAGCTCTGCAGCTTGTGCTGCCGCCGACACCGCTGCCAATGTGAGATACGCCACGACCTGAAGCGACACCATGCATGAAAATAGTGATTACAGTCTTATATATTTTCTTATCACTATCATTTTATCTAAAAGCCTAAACCTTTGATGAGACAATTTATTTTATAACACTCCTGCCTTACATGTACTTGGGTAGATCGGCACAAACCTTACATCCAAAATTTGAACTGATCGAATATATATATTCAATGCATGATCTGGAGTAGTTTTGGACATCGCTATCATGTCATCATGAACTTTTTTTGACATCATAGCTTTTTATCACTGTCATTCTTAGCTTACAAGATCATATTTTTACTTGTTTTTAGGTTTGACTAGAGAAAATTTACAAGTATCAGTTTTTGTAATACTGATACTTATTTTTAATATGTGATAGATTGCTAAGACCAATCTGAAATATAAATTTGTAGTGCCCACATAGCCTGCCAGACTCTGCAGATAAATCATGAACTTGAGGCCAAGTTTAGGGCCTCAGATGAATCTCTGGCCTATGCACAAAATCTGCTGTGAAGAGCACATGAAGCAGAGGTGACTTTTCTCTAGCTAAACAACTATTAGATGCAATGGCAAATGCCCTTTTTCTGTCTACAAAGTTTAATTTTGTAAATCAATTGTCAACAATGCAGAACTTTGTCTAGTACTTCACAAGCCAGACAAAACATCAACACCAGTTGCTGATCATTCAGCAACTTTGGCCACAGAAGTCACTACCACCAGAACTAAAAGGTCAGTTGATAAGGTAGAGATTCTCATTCAATGCAACATAGTTTAAGTTAATGCTGCAATGGTGACATGGGTTAATCAGCTACCTGATCACAAGAGAAGATAGCCCAAGCCAAGGCCTTGTTGAAGAGGACACTCCCCTTCATCATGCTCACCACACTCCTCACCACCATTAGCAGACTATAGCCTGCAGCTATCCCATTTGCTACCACTAGGAACCTGTCAATCCAACCAAAACCATATATGGACTCAGAAATCTGAGATTTATGCTATAACAGTGTAAAAATATATATATATAGACTTCACAAATACCACCATTTGAATCTTCTGTGTTATGAAGAATTAGAAACAAAAAAGAGAGGGGTTTCTTCATAGATCTACACAGAAATGAACTTGTAATAACCACAGAAGAAATAGGAAGGATGAAGAGAAGGTCTTACACCAGAGCTTTCATGTCAGTGAACTTGGCCTTCTTTTCCACAGAGAAGAACTCCCTAACCTGAGTGTCAGATCCTACTAGAACAGCAGCAATCACCCCAAACGCACATGAGAGACACCTGAGCACAACCTCAGCCACCTTCATCCTCCTCTCCACAGCCATCAGCTTCCCACCTCCATAGTACACTGGCACGGTCCCAGGGCTCACCCCAACCTCCGGCCTCATCTCCTCCCTCTAAAATCCTTGACAACACACAAGGCAGTGAAGCTTTACGAAGAACAGTCACTTCCCTTTTTTATGGCCAGAGATTCCCAATCCCGCGCCTCGACAAAGAAGGCAGGGGGGTCAATCTGATTGATACAAGACTCGGGAACTTGAAGACGGAGCTGCCCGATGCCCCATTCAAGAGGGCATGGTGAGTGCATTATGAGGTCCTCATCTGCAGCACAAGGAACAAGGACTGATGCATGAACAGTACCTCAGACCATTGACATGTGGCATGGTAATGACTCTGTCTTTTTGATGTGGAAACAGTGTGGAAGATTGGAGTCAGTGGAATCTTTGATTACAGCCAACGAATAGATCTTTAGCCAAGTTTGGACTGTTTTGGTTATAGTCAATCCATGGTTGGTGGTGTGTCTTTACTATATATATATATATATATATAGTCTCACATCTTGAGAACATGTTTTGGTATAAAAATTAGACTAACTTTTTTTCTTAAACTCCACAGATCTCACTCAAACTTCATCTTTTCTTCATTTAGAATTGTGCATTTAGAAAATTACATGAGGATTTTGTACTGGGAAACTAAAAATGCATATATTTTCTATTGTTAAGATTGACAAGATACTTATGTTCTTATTAATTATGTGTATTGATTTGTTTATTAGTAGTTGAAAGGCCATATATATATATATACCATATCACTATTTGTTCTTTGATTGTAGTAGGGACATTGACACCAATGTAAAGGACAATTTTGCCCAAAAGGTAAATATATGTAAATTACTAAAAAGCTAATCAATGCAAGCTCAACATTTAACCTTCAATCTAGTCCATGAGTGTTGGATGTTGAGGTGATTTGGAGGATAATAAAGTTAATACTAAATGAAAATTATTTTAAGAGACATGTGCATAAACGATGTTCAAAACTAGGATGATATTTGTGATAGCTAAATTGCAAATGTTATAAGGTAATAAATTCATTTGTAATATTGGAGACAGTAAATATAGGATTTGCTTTTGTAATTTTTGCAATTTAATGGAAATTTTTGACAAGATGAAATGTTTTTGCTTGTACAGTACAATTGAGAGAAGATACTATGTAATAGTCTCCATTTACATGGTGTCTGCCAATGAAAGATGGCTTATATGTGTTGTCTTTTTGTTCTATGTGATCAAAATGAAAAAGAAAAATCAAAGCTAAATTGAGGATGGAATTTATTAAATCTATTCAAGTACACAGTTCATAGAGGGATTGTGGCAAACCAAATATATCATTTACATTTTATATTTCAGATAGATAAGAGATGTTGACAAGGGATCAGATTTGAGGGAATATTTTGGCCTTGTGTGGAGATCTTTCCTTCTTGCGAATCCATCAAATCAAGAACTTGTCATTCTTTTGACAAATATCTTTTGACTGTCACTCATAAGCAGAAGCATTGAGTGTAATCATCTTTTTTTGTTCTAGTGGGAGTCACTGAAAGCTGAAGCAAGCTCCAAATTTTGACAATGGAAATCAAAGACTGGAAAAAGGCTTTGTGTTATGATGATGGGAGCCTGTTGGCAATTGGAAGCATTAAGTTGCTGGGCCAGTGACAATCATGGAATATGGTTGTGTTGGGATCCCAAATCTGGGAGAACTAAATTTTGGAATATGTGATAGAAGGTTCTTGCCATCTCTTTATTAAGATATACTAAAATTTAGGACAAAGTTCGGTGCATTGGGATTGCATTGAATGCTAGTTTGAATATTCTCTGTTGTCAGCATAGAGGATGTCCTTTTCATCCATTATCATCATCCACTAGTTTAGTGGGGATAGGCATGATCAGAAAAGAACAAGAAGAAAAGGAATTGCTGGATAGATCACCACATTTATCAATGGATTTTGTATGACCTGATCCAATCTCAAATCTCCTGATCCCTTGATCCAATCAATAGATTGATCCAGTCTAATTGTCTAGTTGAAAACCAGTTGGGGCATAAATTGACCTGATTACTTTCTGTTTATTATCACATAATGCAAGTAACATTGGATAAGTGTTTGGCAACCAGTTAATTTACAGTGAACTCGAATTGCAACAGTGCCTGCTCATGGCTGGAGATCAAAGGTGGAGTTGAGCTCTCATGTCATACTGATACTGCCCAGCAATGTAATTAACCATGGTAGTAAGAGGAAGTGAAGCATAAGTTGACATGGAAGTGGTGGAAAGAGAACCTTAAAAGGCTTGCATTTTATTAATGGAGATTCATGAAACATAAACCAAATAATTTGCTCATGCCTTTGTTGGCATGACACTGTTATGGCTTTTCTAGTTTAAGGTTGAAACAGGTAAAGACAACCTTTGAAGCAAAACTATCAATTAATATGCACACCATTGAGTCTCAAACAATCTCATAATAAAGGAAGTCCCCCTGTTAATTTAGCATTAGATTAAAAAAAATCCATATTTCTGTAGTTCAGTGTGCAACAAATTTAACTCACAAGCCAAAATTGATCCTCATTCACCTAGGATGAAAAAGAAAAGGACTTTTTTTTGGACTTTATCTGCACTTTTGCAGCTCAATTTGTCAAAGTTGGATCCTCAATAGGTCAGCTTTAAGATGCCACTTTTTACCTTATTTCCTTCTTGGATGCTCAAAGCCCTTGAAGCTAAGAGCAGATTCAACAGCAGAAATAAATGATACACAAAGAATTGGAGTCTTCATGAGTGAATAATGTGAATGATCTCAGATAAAATAAAAAATATTAGACAAGCAAACAAAAAATCTAAAGAAAAGAAGTGATTCCAAATCTGCAGCTCAAAACTATTAGCAGATACCTAACAGCAATAGGATGCACTACCAAAGGCTAAATACCACACCATCAAATTATCCAGAAAACAACAAACTGTAATATTGGTGCTTCCCCTGATGAGCCTACAAAAGAAATGTCAAGCACATTCTGAAAGACTGAAAACCACTTCAATACAAAGACCTGAGTAAAGACAATTAATTATAAGCATCAAATCATATAAAGATGAAGATTGGTTCAAAAGACCAACTGGAACTACATCAAGCAACATCCAGATGATAATATCAACACTCCTTGGTTGTGGACTACTAATCCTTGGCTGTAAATTACTACATAAAATAGAACCAGGAATCTCTATGGGCAGTCAGCAGCAGCTCATTTTTACTTTTACCCTGCTGCATTTGATCGAATGCTATGCACATTCTTCAATAAATCCTGGATTTTTACTTTTCCACTGCTGATCTCCTGAAGCTCTATCTTTTCAAGCAGATATTGCTTCTCAGTTTCTGCTTCTTCAAGACAATGCTTCAGGTTACATACTGGCATAGTGCTGCTCAGCATTCTCTGATTTAGCAAGTGCAATTCCCTGTAGCCTCACAGTCTCCTGTTTGACCTCGCTGGCCTGAAGCTGGAACATCTTAGCCTCTGTTTCATCTTCAGTCCAGTGGTTTCATTGTCCCCTTGCTTTTCCTTCTCTACTTTGTTTCCCGTGACGGCAACTGGGCGGTTTGTCTCGATGGGCCAGGCCTCATGCGAGCTGGCATTCTCAGTGGGGGAGCTTCGCCATTAGAATATTATCGTGGTTCTTGGGATGCGGGTGAGTCTGCATGGTCGGACGAAGCGAGGGACCGACCTCGGAGGCTGGCGTGGGAGGAAGCATTGCCGGTGGGGCTTGCTGGTGATGGTTTGCACCAGAAGAGGTGCCCAAATCAATTGCTAGTATGCTGTTAAACCTTCACCTGCAACATATGCATCACCAAAACTGCCTTACCTGAGGGTTTGAATCCAACTGATGCAACTAGCAAAAGAAGTACGCATCAAAAACTAATACGTTTCAAGATCCTTAATTTCGCCAATAAATGCCGCCAAAATCCAATCTTTTTATTTCTAGGGAGGGTCAGAAGATTAAAAAGTGCACGTTTCTGGATTCTAGAACCCTAATCTAAAGTAGAAACAGCAAGCGATTCAGAAGTGCGAAAACGAATTAGGCGATTCGCATTAGAATCCACACGTCCAACATGATTTCAACTAACTAACAAAAAGAAAAGGGCCGGAAATCGGAGGATCCAAAGGGGGACGAATACGAACGAACAGCAAGCTTGCATTACCTGGAGCTTGAATCTCCCAAAGGGCGGACCGCGGGAAGCATCGTGACCGAAGCGATCGCAGTAACACCGAGAGAAGAAAGAGATTAGGTCTCTCTCTCGCGTTTTCTCGTGCGCCGGAAGTCCTCCCTCCCGAAAAAGACAACGATGACACATACAAGTCACGACTAAACTTAAATCAAATTACGTGGCGCATATCGAGAAGCGTACTCGCCCTGCACCACCTCAGCCCGCCGTCAGATATCCATCACATTCCGTATCCGTGACTCAACTCGTGTCGTGATATTACTGCTCGCGTTTCAACGCGTCAAACGTGATGACAGCGAGATGATAATAGACGGGCAACCACGGGGCCCCATCCAATGGAGATCTGCCACGTCATTGAACACTTTTGTAGCCTGTTTTACTGAAGACAGACTATCCTCATCCAACGCAAAATAACAAATAATATCACCCCGATAATTTTCAAGGACGATTCGACCCAGCTGGACAAACAGATGTGCAGCTACAAAGCTGAGATTTACCCCTCCAATTTTCATTATTATCATTGCAGCATTTCATTATTTTCATTATATATATATATATATAACAATAATAATAATTACAAATAGAAATTTGACGATGATAAAAAGATTATGGTCTCATTCACAGCTAGACATGAAATTGATGGGATCATCATTTGGAGCTTCTTATTTAACTTTTTTTAGTGGGTATCAAAAGGGCATTTCTCTTTTATTTGGCAATAAGAAATATTTTTTAACCTATTTTGTTGATCATATCTTTGAATACTAACACTTCTTCCACCAATAAAGGAAGACATATAATATAAAGTCCCATGTCATGAGAAGAATGTTATTTTCATGAAGGTTAGACATTATTATTTTTATGATCCCATATGGGTTGTAACATTTTTGCAGAATATAAATAAATTCTAAATGATTGTATATATATTTAAAAATATATATATATATGAAGATATTAGAAAGTCAAATTTAAAATTATACTATTGTTGAAAGTTGTAACAATGTGGTTGTGTCATGTTCTTCTTTCCTTTATGGCAAAAAAAAAAATTGTACTTGTTGTTTGAAGTCCTTTTTTTGGGGGGGAAATTAATCATATTTATGCATAAGAGAGATTTATGTGATTTTGCTTCTTCTCATCTTTTTTCTTCAGATATTCCATTGTTGATAGGCATGATGCTTCCAGACAAGAGAACAAGCTCCATCCATCCACCAACAAGAAGACAAGAAATTGTGTGGAATAAGTTGTTGATTTTGATTAGACATATAGAAAAACCACACATGGACAAGATTAGGTTTTCATTGTCACTTTGGACAAGAGAAGACAAGTCATTATACATATCATGAGAAGTGGCTGTTGCTTGGAGTGGAAGCAAGTCAAGAAACATGCAAAAAGTTGACCATTATTAGGGGTGCAAAATGGATCAGATACAGATAGAACATTGGACAAGGAAACAACTTATAGAAAACTCAATTTTTGACACATTTATCTTTCTCTTTGATCCAATCAAACATTCAAGCTGTTCCAATTGTTTTTTGTGATATTCAATGATTGATTTAGTTTTATGACCATTGCAGTACTTATGGCTTTTTTTCCTCCAAAGCAGTTATAAAATAATGTCTACATATCAAGATTTGGAACATTGACTATGGATCATTTTGTTTGACATTTCATTGCTACAAGTACCCCCAAAAAACAAAGTGTTGTCTAGTCCCTTTATATATGTGGTGAAAAATATTACATTTTCTAAAAATTTACTTACATTGATTGTATATTTATTTTTGTTGATGAAATTTATGAGTCTTGCATATTACACTGATTGCATATGGTACATAATTTGGACTATGCATCATTGCCTGTCCAATCCTAACACTATAAATGGTAAGGAAAATATTACTGTTGTTGTAGCAACCCCAAGTACATGTCAATAATCCCCATGCAGCTCCAAGGTTGAGATAGAACATGGCTTCAACACCCCACATGCAAGAAGAGCATGTGAAAGCAGTCAGTAGCCTCTGATGAAGCTGCATGCTTCTTCCACTGTGATCTGTTCATGCACAGTGGCAGAGACCATAGAGGACATTTTACATGATTGAATGCCACAGGACATGGCTTGTAACTTTGTGTTCTTATCAGACACAAACCCCCAAAGCTAAACAGGAGGCTGCATGGAGGCTTGCTGTTCATATCTTTCAAGACATTGAAATCAAATCTATTGCACAAATTTATGCAGCATTGTGGGTTGTGCCCATTTCTTGATCATTTAGTATTCAGATGTGGAGCACAGATTGTGTCATAGATTAATATACAATGGGTCCTTTTTTAATGAAAGTTTAGGGTTTGGGGATTGGTGATCATCCAGTTAGAATTTTTATCATGATATTGGTCAAGACTAATCTTTAGAAACTTTAGCAACCTTATTCAAAATATTTATTATGATAATTGAATTATAAAATTCATTCAATTTTTTTTTTAATCTTTTGTGGCTCTTTCTTCATGTTAATATTGGATTTATAATCCAAGGGGAGTTGGTGAATAGTATGATAATGAGATGAACTGAGAATTTGATGGAAATAAGCACTGATTCAGAGGTGATGAGAAAGAAAAAGGAGAAGAAAAGAATGAGATGGAGAGATACATTGAGGTCACAAAGTCTTGACTGCTAACCACAAATCTTTCTTCACTCTTCTAACACACCACTTTCACAAATTGAAGGTACAGAAGACAAATAACAATCCAAGAAAACTAGAGAAAAAGCTTAGGAAATTGCAAGCTGATGCACTAAACAGGCGAGGAGGTATAGATTACAGGTGCAGAGAAGTATCAACATCTGTCTCATGTCCAGTGATTGAATTCTGAGCAATGCTTCTGCTGGGCCACGGGCTCATGGAAGGTGCGTTCTCGGGTGCATGGGGTCCTACGTGATCACTGAGGTGGCGGCGCGACGGAGGCCAAGGCAGGTCGGGGTGGAAGAGCCAGTTCTGCTGCCCACACTGAACACTTGAGCTGGGTGGCTCGCCGTCGCCCCACACCCTCTGCAGCTCCCGCTGCTCCCTCAGCTCCTTCACCCTCTGCAGCTGCTTGAACCGCTCCTGCAGCAGCGCGATGGAGGCGTGGAGGGCAAAGGGATCGCCGTTCTGCCTCCCCATGAGCTCAGCCTCAAGCACCAATGTGGAGTAGCTCAGTGGGTGGTGAGGTGGTGCTGATGCAGATAGAGTGTTTGTGTTCATGCGTGGTTGTGGCGTGGCCATGGATGCCAATTTATACTGGTTGGCTGCTGCCTTCTTGCACTATTTCACATATGATTTTGTGTCCTATGAATGATGTAAGAGAGAGAGAGAGAATCAAAGTGGGAGCTGCAAAATCCAAGGAGGAAAGGCTTTGGGGTCCATCTGAGGAGTTTGGTGGGCAGCTGGGAGCAGGGCCAGCGGCAGTCTTTAGAGGGAGATGGGGCTGGGAGAGAACTCCAAGGATGCATGGAGGTTAGCATTTGGAAGAAGGTGTTAGGGGGAATATGGGGTTTGGTGATGGATTTGTCTTCTATCCCTTTGCCTTGTAGGAAGTATATTACCTCATGGTGGGCAATGGAAGAGAGAGAGAGAGAGAGCTCTATCTCTTCCCTTGTTCTGAACAAAATCTACAGTGAGTCCAAACCAAAAGCTTCATCATTATGAGTTCTATGGAACAAAGATGAAGGGGTTAGATCTGTGACCTGAATGGGAAATTTAGAAGATAATTCTTGTTCAGAGAGATGAGCAACTAAAAGAAATGTAAGGTAAGCGAGGATTTGTTGTACCAAAGTATGCTATGCTATGCTTTCATGATACTCTTAATATATATTTTTTCCTACAAAGAGTAAGAGATGAAGGTGGTGATTCCAACTTAGAATTTTACAATAATTTATCAAGATTTTTACCAACTATTTTTATTATATTTTAGTGGGGCTTCAATGCGTCCAACTTTTAACATAAGCTCTTAACCAACCACTCTTTAACATATTTTGATGAGACTTAAATATACATTTCCACATATATTTTTAAATATTTAAATTCTTCATATATATAACTCTGGTTAGGATATATCCTAATAACTTAGGTTAGCTATCATTAACTGAGGTTATTAGTAATTAAAAAAAATTACTTTCATTGAAAATTCAATGCAAACAAGTACACATGAAAATTATTTTTTTGAAAATATATTTAAATGAAATATGATAATGATCATCTGATGAAGAAGATTAACCACAATCGTATTTATATTGCTTTTTGAGTTCTGTGGTGAAATATATGTATAAAATTTGCCAATAATAATTGGATCAAACATGAGATATTTTTCAATGATGATTGAATTCTTGCTTTTGAATTCACGCAAAGAATCCCACTTGGACTAAGAAAGGAATCATTCACTTCTTTTCCATCCATTAACTTCAAATTAAGGGATCCATTCGAGCATGTCACTATTATGCAACAATGATGCATGGATACAAATACAATGAATCAATATGACATGATACAAATATACCACCTTTGTAAAGATTACATAATTGATCACACAAAAACAACTTGGCAGACTACAAAACCTGGAATTTGGGCATCAACATCACTCTTGTTAGTCTTTGGCATCCACTAATAATACAGCTCATCGGGCAATTTATGTTAAGTAATGAGATTGTTTCCAGGCTATCAGTTTGATTATTCCATCCGATTTTAACCCATGGAATCAACATCCATTACAACCCATGCACATGTTCAGTAATATAATTACACAGACATCTTGGGGAAAAAGCAGAGCAACAAGCCGATACAACATACAAATATGTGAATCGAGGTACATGAAACGCTCAAATGGCAGCAACTTCATAGTCTAAACTACCACGGGACGTTCCATATCCAACACGATCCTTGTGGCTTCCCAAACAATCTGTCCATCAATGTAGTGCTGTCTACATACAGGCATATAAACATCAGCTCCACCAATTAGTTCTGTTTGTTTTTCCTTTGTTTTCCTCAAGGTAAAGAATGCACGTCCACCACACAACTCACACCTTGCGGTAAGCTTGGTAACTGAATTAGCTAGCGGAATGATGTCAAGCACCGAGCCAAATCTCCTTCTGCCAAAAAATGTAAATTTGGTCAGGATAAAAGAGCCACGGGAGATCATGCTCTGTGCTTTTGCACCCGGCATCTTGCAAATAAAATGCATGTTTGAAGCAAACAACCATAAGGAGGCCAAAGTATCCTTAAAATACCAGTAGAATATGTGGAAAGCCCAATTTTGCTCTTTAAACACAGCAGTCTCCTTACATAAAATGACTAGGCAGGGTGCATAAATGTATGGAGAGTACCTTAGGTAGTCACCATCCAAGCCTGCAACAATAACAGTCTTCCTATCACGATCAGCTGCATTGCAGCAAAAATCATAAAGATCTTCAAAGAACTGGGCTTCATCAATCCCTATCACATCCAACTGCCAGCATACACAAGTAACCCAGACAACGATGTTACTGTTAGAAAAAGAAAATTAGCCACAGGCAGATGCACGTGCAAAAATCAGCTGCTAAAATAACAGAAGAGATGAGACGGGCAACTAGAAGCATTCAGGACTTTAACAACAATGGGTTTTGGGAAACATAATCTTCAAATTGATTCTGATTATCTAGTAATGGACAAACAAAAGTTCTAAGAGGATCATTTTATTCTCTTAGAACGTGGACACAGAGACTGAATTATGACCATCTTTATTCGTAAAATCTAGCAAAGCATATTGGCGTAAGCAATTTTATAAACAGATTAAAATAACAACACATTCCAGTTATCCTTTGTTGGCCTACAGAAAAAATATGCAACTGCATTTTCTTCATCCTCAACCATCCGAATATCAATATAAACTGAATGTTATAGTTATAAATGCAATGAAGAACACTCGGAACTCCTCAACCATTGGAAACTAAAGCAAGGAGACCAAAACTCGCCAGTTTTCCTGTCAACAAGAGCATAAAGATTATTAGCTTAACTCTTGGATACCTTATCATATGCTTCGGCTCCTAGTCTTTCTCGGAACATAGAAAGTGCTGGCAGAGCCATGCATGGCATTCTCGTACCATCATGTGTCACAATTGCATCCACCCCATACCTTGTGTCCTTGTCGGATTTAATTATGGCCACAGTTCTGCTTAAGAAGTGTTATCAGATTAATCTCACATTTTACATCAAGGTCACGTTTGATGTAAATATTAATATCACATCATCAGATAAAGAAGTTCCGTGACAAGAATGCAAAAGGAAAAAAAGTCTCGAAACACAAGCGTTTTGCATCGAAAAGCAAATCCTGGACATTTACAACAACCCGATGCTTAGTTGCTGATTAGATGAAGTTCTATGACTGAAGAGTGTAAAAAATCAGTCTCAAAACACATTATTACATTTTGCATTGAAAAAACAAAAGAAATTTTAATAGCACCCCCTGTTCAATTAACGATTGAATGGAGTTCTCGTGAAGACTTGGTTTCGAAACACAATATTACATTTTGCATTGAAAACGACAATAAAGTCAGCGAAGACTGTAAAGATCCAATCTTGAAACACAAGATTACATATTACATAAACAAAGGACATTAAAGCAAAAAACTCATTTACGGCGCAAAGTGAGGAGTGCGGAGGAGGATCCTACCTTCCGTTATTCCTTTCGGCTTGGATTCGACGGAGGAGAGTGGTGGTCTTTCCGGCGAACATCGGGCCGACGATCACATGGATCTCGCCGCAGCAAGGGCGCGATTGCATATCGGACTCATGATCTCCGGGGGACGTTCTACAATAGGGTCTGAAGGAGGTGAAATGGGTGGCAGGTTTTGGGAGGCGGACGAAAGGTGATTTGGCCAACGATTTGGGGAAGTGGAACGTGCGAAACGAAGGGAGGAGGAGAGGTGGGGAGGGTTTGAGAAGAAGGTGGTGATGGGAAGGAGGCGGAGGAGAAGAGATGTGGAAGGGAAGGATAAACCTCAACATGGAGCGCATATATCGTGGGAGGGTGGAAGGGAAAGGGGGTTTAGGGTTTGGGAACGCAAGGGGGTGAGTAGCAGAGGCACATGTCTCCCTTCATTTGGGAGTGGACGGGCTGTGCTACCTTATACAAAAATTAAATAAATTAAAAATCATTTCCAACTCAGAATTATAATGGGCGAATTTTCGAAAAAAAAATCCTGAAAATTAGAACGCTTCAAGTTTAATTTTTTTTTTTTTTTTATAATGATCATTCTGCTCACTAACCATCACCCACTATCCAACCTCGATTGCGCTTTTATCTCATCGATCGTCTCCTTTCGTTATGCTAACCATCATTCTTTGTTAGATCATGTTAGACCCATAATAGAGGTACAATCTTTACGACTCCTCCAATGCCAACGATCGAGTCTGCAAGCGAGGACGATGGTGAGGAGGGGCATGAGGAGATCGCATCGATAAGGAAGGAATATGAAGATGCTACACGATCCCTTTGTTGCTAATGATGAAGGTGTAACAGTAAGATCTTACGTGAGGGTTATAGATAAAAGAGAGGTGGCTAGAAATAGGGTAGAGGGAGCACCCAAGATTATTGGCATTAATAGTGGATATTTATGTGAGGGTAATAGGCAACGATAACGAGCCCTGATGTAAGGGTTACAGGGGAAGGAGGGTAGCCAAGGTTGTGAGCAACAATAGCCCTCCCTCGTGTGAGGGCTACAGTCGATGACGATAACATGTTGCGATGTAAGACGGATGCGATTATAAATTTTAAAAAAATATATTTTTAAATTTATTAGGGATAAGATGGTATTTTCATGTAATTAGGGGTATTATACTAGAATGTTTTAAACTTGAAACATTATATGAGAAATTTTTAAGAGATTTTTTATAAAAATAATTATATTAAAAAATATTTAAAAGTCACATCTATTATTTATAAACTTAATTATATTTTAATTTTTTTACTTTATAAATGGTCTATCATGATTGTAATATGAAACATATCACTTATGCAATAATATATTAACGAGACTATTTTGTTCATATCATTTTCATTCACGATATTATAAATCTATGATCGGATCAGTTGATCCATCAATTGAATCGAGTTATTTGAGATTTGACTGAGTCAATATAACATTGTTGAAAGGAGTGATAGTTGGATTTGCAACTAATCCTCATATAATTATTATTTAGAGAGATAAGAACAAGAATGTGACATTGGAATTCCCCTCGTCAAAAAATGATAAGAGATTGAAGAATGTCCATATGTCACTTTCTCTTAAACTCTATCACCCAAAGGCAATTACTGAGAGGAGAAGCTTCCAAGTTTGCCGTCCAAAGCCAGCCACCAACCCCACCACCTCCTCTATTTCTACCTTCCCCTCTCCCTCTCCTACCTTCCACCACCCTCATCCCACAAGCTTATCAGCACCTTCTCTCCTTCCATCTCCCTTCCTTGCTCCAATCTCTTCTTCCCACAAGCTGCAGTTTCAGTCTCAGTTCCCATGATGCAGGCCATCTTCCTTTGCCTGTTACTATCTTTCTCCCTCCAATCCTCCTCGGCTCAAGCTCAAAACTGTTCCAGCGAGAGCTTCTCCGGGAACAGGCAGTACTCATCCTGCAACTCCCTCCCTTACCTCGGCGCCTCACTGCACTGGACCTACCATGCCTCCAGTGGAACAGTTGACGTCGCCTACCGCGCGCCGCAGTCTTCCTCCGGCTGGGTCGCCTGGGCCATTAACCCCTCCGGTACCGGCATGATCGGCGCCAACGCCTTCCTCGCCTTCCCGGATTCTGCCGCCGGCGCCGTGACTGTTTGGACCACGCAGCTGTCCACGTACTCCCCCACCGTGCAGGACCAGAACTTGAGCTTCAGTGTGTACAGCAAGTCGGCGGAGTACTCCGACGGGTCATACACCATTTACGCGACGCTGGAGGTGCCGAGCAATAACACGAAGGTGAACGTAGTGTGGCAGGCGTCGACGCAGATCAAGAATGGAGTGCCGAACGGCCACTCCACCCTCGGCGACAACGTCAACTCGCAGAGCACTCTGGATCTGCTGTCGGGGCATGCAGCATCTGCTGCAGATAATTCGAAGCAGCACCGAATGAATGTGAGAAACTTGCTGAGGTTTAGCTGTATGCATCTTATTTTGTCTTCTTTCCTGCTCTAAGATGAAGTCAAAGACGGAAACCATGTTGCTCGGAGGATCGATGAACCGACTCATAATAGATACATGTGAGGATGATGTTGGTGATGAGCACTTGGTCTTAATTCTTTGACTGCAAGGTAATGTTGTCTTGGTGCTGTTGACCGCACAGCCAATATGGCCGGGTTCGGCCTTGAAGGCACAGATTCATCTTAGGTACCGTTGACCATATAGTCAATATGACTTGATTCGATTTCGAGGGCACATATTCGTCCTTAGAGTCCACGCCAAAGCAAAGGAGTCAACCTGACCGAGCAGCCGAGGAGGTAAGTGGACTCTCGAGGCATTGCGAGCTCGCGGTGGTTGACTCGATGTCATCCTGAGATGTGGCTCATTTGTTAGAGGAGGTTCGAGGTCATCCCGAGGTGTGGTTTGGCATTTTAGAAGTGCTCAGCGTCACTCTGGGGTGCTTGTTAGATGCGCCTAGGTCCTGCACAAGTAGTCGGCGATGTCCCAATCCGACCCCTCTAACGCTTAAGTTAGTAAAGTGGAGGAGGTTTAGTATGACTCAGGAGAGTTAAGATAGAGTTCGTCTACCCCCATTTGGCCTGGGGGCCTAGGTTTTATACTTGATCAGTGGCGTGAAGTCAGTGATAGGTTAGGATGTCCCTTACCCTGCCAGGGGATCATCGATGGTGGTAGCTGACGAGCGTGTCATAGTAGGACACTTGTGATGATATACTTTATGAGGGTTCTTGGCTTGTCTAGGACAGGCAGAGAATGACCCCCTATGTTGTTCGTCCGGAAGGTAGGGTCGAGGAAGTTGCATCATGCCACCTGGCCTCAATGCGCGCATGTAGGCCTTCCCTTAGCTACGGTTGAGGTGGCTTCTTCGGTCCAGGTGGTGGGGTGAGTTGGCAGTGCCTTTATTAGATCAACATGCACTCATGATTCTATATTGAAAATATATTTTGTTTTACTCATAATTACCAATGTCAACCATTCAACACCAGCTATGTTAGGTAACTTTTTTCTGGGATCTTTTCCACCATTTTCCTCATCTTCCCTACTGCATATTTTGCATCTTAATTTGTCTGCAACTTTGATTTGTCCAGATTCTTTTAAATGCTTGAATTAAGCAGAACATCATGGAACTAATGAGTTAAAGTCCCCTTCTTTTGGGCCATTTGTTTCAGTATTAGCTTCAGTAGACCATCACTATCTGAATATTCTATGTACCATCCAACAAAGAAACTGGAAATTTTTGATAGCTGACAACAGGGATTCAATTTCTACCAGTACTAATATTTTATCTATCATGATGATACATCATCTACTGGTTACTGAACATTACTGAGTTGGATTTCAGATTCATGGGGTGTTGAATGCTGTCAGCTGGGGTGTCATGATGCCAATTGGGGCCATCATAGCCAGGTATCTGAGAGTGTTTCAAGCAGCTGATCCTGCTTGGTATTATCTCCACATTGCTTGCCAGATCTCAGCATACATAATTGGGGTCTCTGGATGGGGTCTTGGCCTCAAGCTAGGAAGTGAATCTGTTGGTGTCGTTCATCACAAGCACAGGATGGTGGGAATTGCCCTCTTCTGCCTCGCCACACTTCAGGTACTCCAATTCATAACCTCTCATTATCTTGCACAGAGTGAGTGCATCTTAAGACTTTGCAAATTCTTTGGAATCCATGTTTTCCCTCATCTATGCAGCATCACCAGGCAAAAGTCAATTGATTCTAGTCTCAAAATAAGCTACACAGAGAGAGATTTAGTGTAGAACTCCTTAAGGACCTCATCTCGTCTCTGCAGGTGTTTGCATTGCTTCTAAGGCCAGACAAGAAGAACAAGCACAGGATCTACTGGAACATGTACCACCACTCGGTCGGATACCTTGTCATAATCCTGAGTGTTGTGAACATCTTTGAAGGCTTTGAGATACTGCTCCCTGCCAAGAAGTGGAAACATGCCTACATTGCTACCATTGTGCTGCTGCTTGTCATTGCACTTGTCCTGGAAGTGATCACTTGGGCTGTAGTCCTCAGGAGGAGGTCGAAAAGCTCCGAGAAGTCACACCATGGATCCAATGGTGTCAATGGCCATGGTGTCAAGCAGTATCAGGTGGCTTAGATAGAGCCTGGCTTGCAATGCAGGCTGTGTGTGCTTGGAGATCTCTCTTTGCTATGAGGACTGGTTGTATTCTTATGCATGTTTAGGGGAGAGAGCATTATTGATACCATAGTTATTTTATTTATTTTTCAAGGCTGACATGCATTCTACCCTTTTTGAGTTTCATTGTAATAATATGATCTGATTTATATTGAGGAGTTGATCATTCATTTTGGTCTTGTTAATTCATGCTGAAAGCTGAATTGTAACTGCTGAAAAGATCCATGTAGACTATTTCCAAGCCAACTAAATCCAGCAATATATAGCAATAGCAACAAAGCATGAAAGAAGCCTGAAACAAATTCAGCAACTGGATGATTGGCTATGATCACAAAGTCAGCTTGATAATCTAACTCTGCTTCTGAATCCAGTCTTTGAATTTTAGGGGCCATTGACTATTAGATAATCCTACCTTCTCTTATTTCTGTTTATGATCAACATATTAAAGATCAAGCTTTTGAATACCTCATCTCCACTTTCTCTTCCTCCTTAGATAGGTATCCTCATCTCATCCTCCTCCTTAACTTTCTCTTCCCTTGCCTACTCTTTCGGTTCCTCTCCTCCTCCTCCTCCCTCTTTTTCTCTTCTCTCTTCTTTTATATGTGATCCAAATTATATCGATCTATAACGAGTGTCAATACGATAATTTTGTACTGGTATTATACCGGTTCGGCCTAATTGGTATCGGCACCAAACCGAGATTTTACATTAGATATCCTTGGTGCTTAAGATTTACAAGTGCATGGATTTTGAAGCATGAATGGTGCTGCTCAACATAAATTTCTGACTTGTATCATTCGAAAGCCTCTAATTATTCAAGGACTGGAATTTTTCATTGTTTATAAGCTGAAACTGGATTAAATTACATGTTCATACTAATTAGTGTGTTTCACTTCAATATTTATCTGAATATTTTCAACAGTTATTTTTTTAAAATTTCTACATCACTAAAAAGTCTTTAGCAGGAAGAACAATTATGCCGCTTGAGATAAATTTTAGCTACCAAACAGCTTTCATGGATAAAAACAATTTTAGACTTCAAATTAAGCTTTTAGCAAAGTAATATTTTCTTTTTTTGGTGGTCAAGGAGAAAAAAAGAACTTGTGTGATGAAGTAATTATCTGCAGAGTAAAAACAGAAAAGCCTTGCAAAGGTGTAAGAATAAGGAAGAAGATGTCCACTACTTTGCTGAAAAAGACAAGCTGACAACACATGAAAAGATCAGCATATTAGACTAGCCAAGCAATCCTGACATGGTGATCATCACAAGCCTACCATCTCTATCCAACACAAATTTATTGATGGCTGCTAGTTGACTTTTAGCATAATGATCATCACTAACCTAGACCAAATGTTGAATTCTGCACTGCTACATTGTCTTTAGTTACTAGATTGTTTTGTAAGTTCACCAACTTTACCTCACCTCTTCTGCTTCAAACAATGTGTCTGTCATTGTAACTTTTTGGCTGTAGCTTAAAGTTGGTGAAAGAAACACAAGTCATTAGCTTAATGCAACACAAGGTAAAAAGCTTCAAATCCTTGCATGCCACCAAAGCATGCATGGTTGAGCAATCCTCCATGGCTCCTCTTCTTCCTTCCAATTGCAGTTGGTTGGAAGAACAAGCTTCCTCTTTTTTCCATTTCCATTCTATTTAATCTGATCTGCTGCTGCTGTTGTTAGCAGAGTGGTTAGCCTGCTTTCTTTGTTTGTCCTCACCTCTTCCAGTCTGTTCATATGAAATTAAGGGGAAATAGCTGATGATACAACTTATGTGAAGCTGCATCAATATCGAATGCGATGATGATCAATGTATGTAATTTTACTTGTTTACGAACGAAGAAACTATTTTCATGACTCGAACTCTCAGAATCCGATTTGTAAAGATATCATGTAGCATCGACCTAAAAACGATCAAAATATATGGAGGCCTTATTAAATCATATATAACTTATTATGTAAAATCTTAAGATGATAGAAATTATATATGCAATTATTTTGTTACCATAATAAATTTTTAATTGAAATGATAACAAAATAAAATATATTTGATTAAGATGCACTCAAAACCTTGATAATCTAATTAATAATTATTTTATAACCCCAAAATATTTTTTTATTTGTTAACAATTGATCACTCCACACTGAAAATATTCAATCTCATATAGTTCAGACCTAGCTATCGTTTAACGGGATCATCTTATACTCTATAAACATATGATTTGCCTTGACTTAAATTTAATCAAACAGATAAATAACTAAGATATATTAGTCTTTTTAAAAATTGATATCCTAATTTTATATTTTTTATAAATTTAAAATTAATACCTAACGAATTTGCATGATTTAAAATCAAGAAAAAAATCTCTATCTTTAGGTTTTTCTATCTAGCGACCTATGTTTAAAAATTTTTAGCAAAGCATTTCATTTTTAAAAAATGATCATTATTATCCTTATTGGTAATTGCTTTTTATTGTGTCTCCATCTTGCATTTAGTTGTCTCCCCTATTGCCTCTCTTCCCTCTCCTAGTCACCTGCGTTTCAGTGCACGAGTTGCCAAGTAACATTGCCCCACCTGTCTCCCCCCATTCTCTCTCTTGGCCATGCTATGCCTCTGCATGCGGGCTAGTAGGACTTATCACTTCTCTCTTATCCCTTAGCTATATGTGTTTTCGCATAAGTAGGGTCAACAAGCCAGGCACCTAAGTACGAGCGAAAGTATGGTTAGTATGGGGGCTACAACGAAATTTTTTTTAAGATTAAAGAGAAAATTGATCTTTTTATAGCAAAGGACACACCTTGAGAATTTTCAAATTTAGGACGTACTAAAAGAAATCTCTAAAATTATGAGATTTTTTTAAAGAATTTTCATATATATATATATATATATATAAAATCTACTTGGGAAATTATAAAATTACAACCCAAGTCACGTAGGAAGAGTAATATACTCGATGATACCTAAAGTCACGACTCGACGCGACCCATCCGCCATCTCAACGTCCTTACGTGCCACGCTGGTGTGTCGCCATTCGAATGTAATACAGATCATGGTTTAGAAATCGTTAATTGAATCGTTAGACGTTTGGGAGTCACCAATTAAGTCACACTGCACATCCGACGGGAGCCATCCGTCCGCATGCCCGTAACTTGAATCTTGTCTTATTTTAAGACGCGACTCAAGCGGCCAAAATATAACCCCCGGAGGGACAGAACACGAATCCCAAGCCCCTTGCCATCTCTCTCTCTCCTCACGCCTTGCAAGCAAGAGAGAAGACCGGAGTAGAGAGAGAGAGAGAGAGAGAAAGTGATCGTTCTTTTCCCCCTTTAGCTCACAGATTTGCAGAGCATCCTTTCCTCCTCAAGCTCACAAGAACTCCGCATCTCTGTCCGCTGTTAATCCAAGCATTCCCCTCTTCATCACGGCATTGATCTAACCCGAGTCCTTGATCGGAGATCACCGCCCGCCTTCACCGGTCGCGCTGGAAGGCGTCGAGATTTGGGCTCTCTCGGTGCTTTTCTTGAAGAGACCGCAGAGGTCGCCGAACATTACGTCTACTTCGGGGTTTTGGTTCAAGATCATGATTTGTTTGTCGCTCCTTTGGGGAATGGCTTGCAGAGTGTAGAGGATGCCTGACATAGATGGGTAGAAGTGTGGTAAATCAACTATTCCTTTGTTTTGTTGCTCCAAAATTTGGTTGGGGAGTTGATCGAAACTTGCACGAGAATAAGTTTGGATGCCTTTTCTAATGAGGGCGATGAATGTCAGTTATAGTTCCCAAAAGTTTCTGTTTCTGAACTCTTAGAAACGAATCGCCTTTTCCATGGTAAATTGCCGCGCCGTAGGGGTTGTGAACCTGACGTTATGTTTCTTTACTTAAAAGCTTCGTGAGTTTTTGATGCATTCTTTCATAAACGTAAGGTTGATACCAGAAAGCTTCTTTATATTGTGAGAAATCTTGACAGCTTAGAACTGTAAGCCCCAACCAAACAACGACTCTGTTTTTTTATCTGAACCTTTTCTCCTGGCAGTCCTTGTAATTCCTTGAAGAGGATTACATTGTAAGAGCATTCCACAAACTTGGGACATGACGACTTGTAGTAGCTTTCTGTTGTTGTAGGAACACGTTGTAAGACTCCTTGCTGAGTTTTCTAAATTAAGGTCATAATTTTTGAGTTGACAAATTCATGTATAAGCTCAACTTATTTATCTGTGCCTTACTGCAGATTTGCTGGACTTGATGCTGTCTTATTCCCCATGAAACAAGAAACTTCTTAATTCTAATACTAATGGTAAATAGATGCCATTCTCTTTCTTATTTTTTGTCCTTATGTTAATCTTTATTTTTTGGTATTTTAATTCAGTTGATTCTGGCTTCAATTTGGCAGGATTCCAGTAGAATAGGAGGAAACATGAGCCATAGTCGCCAGATGGAAGTTCATTATATAGATACTGGATTTCCCTACACTGTTACAGAGAGCTTTATGGATTTGTTTGAAGGCCTTATGTATCCTCAGACCGATGCCAATTCAGCAGAAGTTTTTCAGGATCAGGTAGTTAAAGTAATGTAGCAGTTCCATGGCTGTCCGTATTAACTTAAATTGATCTTATTCTTTGCTCACACCAGTTACTGAATGCATGAATTTTAGAGTTGACATTGGGTTTTTTTGTCAATTGCAGCAAAAAGCTGATCCAGATTAATTTTGTTTTTGTGGCATTTAATTTTTGACTTCTGTTAATTCAATGGTTAAGTGTTATTAGGTTTGCAATATCTATAAATACTTTGGAAGATTAAACTACTTTGGCACTATATTTGTTGTAATTATGAATTGATTAATGCTAATATAGTAATGTTTCAAAAAGAGAAAATGGTTTTGCATCCTTTCTTAGGTAACTTTTCACCTTTCTATTCAAATTGATGATCACTTGCCTTGCAAAAAAGGAAAACACATGGATTCATCCATTTCCTTTTTCCGAAAGGAGATACAAATTTTCAGAGATATTTGTATTAGCCTAGTATGAGGCTCCAGCCAATGTGGGTTATGGTTTTATTTATAGTGTATTCTTGATGATGTTTTCTGCCATCACTTAAATGTCACTGTGAATCTTAATTACCAAACTTATCACTTTATGCCTCATCCAGTTCTCATTCTTGGAGGAATTGGTTTCATTTTCTTTCCCATATTTTAGGAGTAAAACTTGTAAATCAATAGCAATTTAGTGGTTTGTGGTAATCTGCATAATTCTTAAATTGGTGATCATATGCAGGGAAATGCATATCACTCAACAGTTCATACAAGCTCATTCAAGTATGGGTTTTCTAGTGCAGCTAGTGATTCATATTACAGTTTCGGCCATGCGCATGAGATAAATTGTTTTACTCCACAATTAGACGCAGCAAGGAGGATGTGGGATGACCCTGCCCCATTGAACATATTTGACTCACCACAACTATTTCTGCATGGGAATTTAGGTGTGGAAACAAGAACTCCTAGTGCCGAAGAATGTAAGTTAGACCTGGCTTTTCTGTTTATCATGTCTGCCATATCCATTTAGTATACCTGCTTGAAATTTGTTAAATCATGGAGACAACTCTGGGATTATGTGTCCACTTCTGAGATCCATGGTGATACTTTGTATTATTGATCTAATGCTTAATACTTTTGTTGTATTGGTTTGAGGCCACATGTGCTTTTCAAGTAACTCCTTTTGAATAGTGAAATCTCCAGCCATGCAACTTACATGCTGTTTTAGTGATGTCTTCTTTCTGATTTGTGTTACTCACCAAACATTCAACTTCACATGCCTGTAATTCTATCTACCATCTGTGTGTTGCTATTGTGTGTCAACCATATCATATCCATGTGAATTTGCTATTGTTTAGGAACCATCAAGGATGTTCCATATATATAGTTCACTTTTTGTTTAATGCATGTGAGATGCTCATGCTGTTCAAATACTCAGAGATTTGGTTGTAAATCCTACCGAAAAGGAATCTACTGACTATAGAACTCATTGGAAGGGTGCTAAAGGCATCATCTAAGGAAAGAGGACTAAATTAGCATATAATATAGGAATTTGAAAATACTTGAAATGTATTATATTGAAAAAAACTAAGTTCACATATGGAGCCCCAACAGTGTTCACCTCATATGGATGAAACTTACTGTTTTGATAGGTTGCGAAGATTGAAACAGAGGGGTCTTGGTTCTTGTTACATAGTCTGCTCCCTTATCTGAAATTTGGACCTTTTAAACCAAGCAAACCTTTTCTGAATCCACTCCAGTTCTCTATATTTTAGAACTGAGTTCCGAGTCTTTGACACTATGGTTACATGTCAGAAATGTGAAAGATTGCGCAACCGCAATCTCCTTCCTAAAGGACTACCCACCACTCTACCACATATGGTCATCAGAGATGAAGCTGGAGCAGATCAAAAGTAACGTGCTATCCTTCTATTGCAAAATCAACCAGTTCCATCTTTTTTTTATTCACTTTTTTGTTCTTTGTTTCAGTGGCAAACTGACTGCTGGCTAGAACAACAAGATACATTTCAAGCTGATTCTCACCCTTTGTGCTGTCGGAACTTGAATTTAGTAAATTGGATAAATCTCACCTGAGTTGAACCTAACCAGTTCTTTAGTGGTGTAGAAAACTTAAAATTGAACCCAACCCACCTAATGTACAGTAACTTTACCCGATCACATGACCTATTTATTAAACATATTGTGTTCCATTGGATGATCCAAAACATAGCACAATTAATGGCTTGCATCATGATTTGTTTCACTTGCAGGACCTAGCTTGACATGTTGAACACCACTGAACTATTTTTGACATGAATTGTCCAGAGTCGATTGACCTAAACCAGACACATTTGAGATCATATCCTGAAAAAATGGTTTCACATTGAACTCGGCTATTAAAAGGGTCAGTTTGGGTAAGTCAAATCAGTTTTCTAGCCTGAACATAACTTGTTATTGATTGGGTTAATCATGTAAACCTATTTATGGCCTAGCACATCTAAGCTCATATCAGACCTGCTAAATCCATGTTAGATTGGCATGTCAGTCCAAAAATTTTATCAGAATAAAAAGAGGGCATTCCAAACTGCTTAGAAAATGATCGAGCAAGGATGAGCACATTGAGCAATGCTATTTTAGTTCATGTACATTCTAAGGTGACTTGTATTTTAACATCATTCACCTATCAGTGGTAACATGAGTAATCTGAAAAAGTCTGATCAATATGAACCAGCACGCAAATGCAAGTCCATCTTTGGAGAGTTATGATGATGTAGTATCAAGGGTGATTAAGGACTCGGTGCTTGCTTTCTTCTTTGTTTTTTTATCATGTTCCTAGAAAACTGACTGCATGGTGAATCTGAACAAGTTCTTGGCCACTGAACTAGTGATGGAATTGAAGGTCTGTTAGTCATTAGTTTATATGCATAATGCTCTAAGCTCTTCTTTTTTAATCATAGGCATTCAGGTGCGAGAGAATACAAATGATGGTGCAAATGGTGGTCAGGTTAGGAGCTCTTTCATATGCTTTATAGTTTCAACTATAAATTATGTTATTATCAAATCTTTTAGTTTGGAACTTCTTTTGTACGTTCTTTCATACCTCAGTAATCAGTTACTGCTGATATTTTTTGTTCATCGAATACCATTAGCTATGAAGCTCTAGTTGTGTTGTTTGTCCACAAATTTGGATTTCTGTAATTCAGTCAAGACATCTTGGATCAAGTCTCACATACTCTGGAAGCCCATTCCAGCTGAGAATCAAGATTCATTTCTGTTCATTAATTAGTTTCATCAGGGTTGTCAGTAAAAAGGTTATAATTGCCAACTACCATGCTATCAAAGTATATATTAATTTTCGTTATTACTGTTGCTTGTTGGTTATTCATTTGCTATGCAATTGAGATAGAACTGGATGATTACTAAATTTTGCATTTGTTTTATAAATATTGATGGAACGTCTAAAAATATGAGTATTTGTTGATTGTTGCAACTAGCTTATGACATCAGATTATTGCTTTTCCGATCATCATGAAATAGATAATCTGAATTCGGCTTATATGTTGCTACGATAAACTTTCCTCATTGTCGATTGGCTGGTTGTACCCAATTAAGCTAATTCCTTCCACAAAACCTGGAAGTATGATCCTTAGGATTAGGTGGTAACTTATCACTGCCTCACACTTCTGAACCCACCTTTGTATATCCAGTGTTTCGCTGATTTCAGTGCAGAAGAGCCAACATCATTTTATTTATTTTTAATTATTGTTTTTGTTAGCATACCTAGAGAATCAACGTCTTTAATCATAGATTTAGGCTCTGTTTACAGAGTCTTATCAGCACACAACGAATTTGATCTGCAGGACATCAAATAAGTAGATGCCTTTCAGATTAAAATTAAAAAGCAGCATCTAATGAGGAAACTTTCACTGTACTAGTTTCTTCTTGCTAAATTAGATTATCACCCAACCTGGCACAATATTTTTAATCCTTAAATCTCATGCTCAAGATCATTATATATGAAACCAAAATTTGATTATCGAGAAGAAAAGACAAGTTGGTTATAAGAGCAAAAACTGCCTGTAGGACTGTATCCTATAGCCTTAATTTAGAAAATTTTTGATATGACTATTGATAATGTTAATATCCAACTTCTGATGTTATGACTTTAGATGTGTATTTCTTAGTCGTTGGAATGGAGGTAGTCAACAACATCCTATCAATCTATTAAGATGAAGTACAAAGCACTGGAGAATTATCTACAAGGTTCAATTTCATCTCCTCTGAAACAAATTTTATCCTAATTATCTTTCTGGGAGCATACTGTGATTAATGACATCATGGCGACAATGCATGAGACATCAAAGCTTAAAAGAGAGCTGAAAGACATGATTGAGCTTCAGAGAGTTCATTTAGGTTGTGCAGTACAATTGCAACAGTATGTCACCTGGAGAATTTACACTGTACTGATGGCATGCGGGCACATCTTTATGAGAAATTTGATTTGTGCTAGCATGTGTTACTGGTGCTGCATGTGGTGAATATTAGAACCTTGCGGGAGATATATGTGCTAGTTTCACAAGGAACACATCTTCCTTGTTGACTGTCGTTAAAGAACACTCATCATAGTTTTCCACTATAGAGAACTAGAAAATGAAGGCTGATAATGCTGCTGCTTTCTTTATTCTTGCATCAATGTTCTGTAAGATTTGCAAATATATTTTCTCATTGCTTTCGCTTGGCTTAGTATATATTCAGTTATTCTCATGATTTTAAGCACAACTTTGTTTTCATTTGTTAAATAAGGGGATTGTTTTGTACTCCTTTTTCATAGCTTTACTTGTGCACTTTAACTGATTAATCCTATTCTTTTGTGGTTGCAGGCTGTTTGGCAGGACAACATAGACCCAGACAACATGACATATGAGGTTTTCCATTGATCTCATCAATTTTTTCTAATGTCTTATATTCCTTTATGAACATATTAGATCTTGGTATTCACTTATGTGATTTATCAAGATAATAATTTTCTGATGAATGAATGTTCACCAAACAACTAATGACAAGTTTACATTGACATTTTACATATGTTCTATGTTTTTTGGTTTAAATATTATGTGGAGGGATTATCAGAGCAATGCTTGCAGGAAGGACTGTCTTCAGATGATAGATGACACCACAATTTAGTCCCATATCAGATAGGAAGGAGATTTAAATTGATCTATAAAGCTAGACTGGACTAATCCTGTTAATAACACCATAAAAGCGAATTCTATTTGCTGATCTAATCACTTGTCACTCCCACATGACAGTTGTAAAGGACATTCACGACTTTAATATTGACTAATATTTTAGTTACCATCCAAGCCAATCATCCAGCTGGAGAATCTAATTTATATGTAGGCATCTGATATTTCTACCATTTATGATAGATTATGCATTTTCAATTTTAATGGTATTCTGGAGGTGTAAGAATGGCCAAATATTAAATTTGCCTAGTAGTTTACACTAATGTTCTTTATATTTCAATCTTGTGTTAGTTTGCATTTGCAAGAGACCTTTATAGTCATTCTTCAATAATTTGGAAGAGCTCTTGTAATGCCTATATGTTGGACGAGTACATGTAGTATCTCAAACTATCAGGATCTACATGTCCATCTCTCATTTCAACCAGTCCTGTTACTGCATGTACATATCATTATAGTTGAACTTGCATGCACACTAATATTCAGGACACAGATTTGGTCATTATTGAAAACAGGAGCACCATTTAGAATGAATAAGATATTTTACAGAATTATTATTAATGCAAGTAATAATGGGTAGAGGAAAATAATTGTTCCTCTTGGTACACTATAAGGCCTGTTATTTGCTCTCAGAGCATAATAGTGTTTCATATTTATTGGTATTGTTTGTACTTTTCTCAAAGTTTTTGCCATTCTCATCCGGCATCAGTAATTTTCCTTTGGAGTATGCTTTTCACATTGGCATATCAATTTAAACTTTGGAATTTAGCATGCAATAACCTGTTGGTCACTCTTCAAGTTCTTTTTATTCCCCTTGATTAAAATATCTGAACATTTTTATCAATTATCAAAATAATAAACAGGAGTTACTTGATTTGGGTGAGGCAGTTGGAACACAGAGCCATGGTCTTTCTCAAGAACAAATTTATTCACTTCCTGTCTCAAAGTACAAGTGTGGCTTCTTTTCTAGGAAAAAATCTCAGGGGGAGAGGTAAAGTTCTGGTTCTTATGTTTGTTTAGATGATGAAGATTCTTGTCTTTGTTTGCTACACATGAAAAAAAAAAAAAAAAAAGAGCCTCGAACTCCCATATGATTCCTGATTTATATATGTAGTTTAATGGACAGATTCAAATACCGATTGTATATGGTGAGTAATGACTGGTATTTACTGGTCCAACCAAGGAGCAGTATCGGACTCAAGTATCGGACCATATGGTTCATACCATATTATTTTTGTTATTTTTGTGGACACTGGATGGTACGAGTTGATATACTACCCGGTATACTGTTATTGTACCAGTCTGTTAGATTACCGAAACTGGCATTGGACCCCAAGTTAAATCCTTGGTTTAATGTGATTCACCTCATATCTCCTATTGCATTGGTTCACATTTATTGGATTTAAAATCTTTTAGCAATTTTTTTGCTAGGAATAATCCCAGCCTGCAATGCTGGTATTGCATTTGGAACAATCTTAATTTTGACGTGGTTGATGTTTTGGAACATTTAAAGTAGTTTTTTTTGGGGGGGGGGGAGGAATGAACAAAGGAAACATAATGATAGTGCCTGATCTTTTGTGTTGGATTTGCAACTTGTTGATTCACTGTGAGCCCACTAATGCTGCATTCATCAGTCCAGACTCCACACCTCATTACCATTATAGATTGCATTGTTTGGTAAAAGCAACAACTGGAAGCATATAAAGGGTACTAATGCTTGTATGAGTAGCATCTGGTTGTAAGCATATAAAGGGTATTAATGCCAAGCTTTTACTCTGAAGATCATGGTGTTTTGCAATGTACCATGCTTCTTTTGTTGTTACCACCAGATCATGTCTCTCAAACCAAATATTCTTTCTAGCACTCGTTTAAATGGAGCAGAATGTTGATTTGTATGAACACGTATAAAGATGGATTTAAGTGATAGGATCAGCCTTCCCCTTGTAACATAACCTACACACGAAGATTACCAAGCCATCTGTAATTCGTCTTTGGTTTTGGTTAACTACGACTCTTTACATTTATTCTTGAAGTGGACCAAATTTTTATATGAAATATCTACCATTAACTTCATTTGAAATTTCTGAAAGTCCTAAAATTACTTTATATGTGCCAGATGCATCATTTGCCAGATGAACTACAAGAGAGGGGATAGACAAATTACTCTTCCATGCAAGCATGTCTATCATGCTAATTGCGTGACACAGTGGCTTAGCATAAACAAGGTTAGCAAGGATTTCACTTTGTCAGTTAATACAACTTTGTGTATCTCCCGGGTGTAACCGATCAGATATTTTCTTCTTGTAGGCATGTCCAGTTTGCTTGGTGGAGGTCTCAGTTGAGGAGCCTAGGCGTCAATGAATTCTAGTCGGCGACTTGCACGGAAGTTTTTGGCTATTTTCATCACTTAAAATTGCATCTCTTTTTCTGTTTTTTTGCTTCCCTTTTCTATTTCATCTTCATGTTTGCAAACATGGAACTGGACCAGTTACACTGTTCTCCTTCTGTCTGGTGTGGCGCAAGGATCATGGTAGGTTATGATCAAGTAAATGCATTTAGGCCCATGTTAATTGGATTCTGTTTGGCCCTAAAAGATTCTGCTGCTTTAGTTATGTGTTATCTTTTTACTAGGATATGTCCTTCATTTGATCTCTGAAGACAGAGTTCCTCAGTTCTTGCTCCTAAGGATTTCATGCTTTACAGCTTTTGCAGACCACCCACTTGGCAATCCATCTGATGAGTAAAGGAAGTTAAAGATTCCTGAATTCATTTCCAGAGAATGCATGACGGAGGAGTCGTCATGACGATAAAGTTCTAACAAGCAGATGTCCATCTGCCCTAATATTTTGTGGTATCAATTCATAATATCAATCTTGTGTGTTGAATTGTCCATCTCATTGTTGATCTGTAGCTCCAGAGTCAGATTGGTCTTGGAGATAAATCCGAGGTGCCAAATTTCTTGCCAAGACAAACACTGCATTATCTATGACTGTAGTTGGCACCCATCTCATATTGTTTGCGTGTGTTTTTAGTTTTTTTTATTATTGAAGTCAAGTCAAGCTACAATTGACTCTGCTGGTTTAGACCCAGTAATCCTTGTCCTGAATCCAAGCCTACCTGATTGATTGTGTGCTGACACAAATTTATTTGATTCGGACAATTTGTTACAGGGTTTCCATCCATCTTGACAAGATCAGAAGCAGCAGATGATGCCTCTCGAATTCAGGTTGTAGGTAAACTGTGATGCCACAGCTAAAGAATGTTTGAGACTTCCTATTTCCTATCATTTTGTCTCCCAATTTAGCTTCATTCTTGTAGTATCTATTTCCTATCATGTTTACACCAGCAAAACACGGCATATTTCAGAGGAGAAAAACAAGCAAATATATCCATGTTAATAAAAATCCTGAAGAAATAAAAGACATGTAATAACATTAAAGGAGGTTGTTTCATAAGCTTTCTCAAGATTCATGCTAATGATAACACATATCCTAGATTTAATAATTAATTGCGACCACATCCATAGTCATGAAATCAAGAAGCAGTAGGAAACCAACATGGGTTCTATGTGACAGTAGCATTGCAATATTAGTTTTGCCTACCAATTTGTTCTCCAAGATTTCAAAAGCAAGGCTGCCTTGATTTCACATACCAGAGATAGAATGACATGGAAGAAGTTTTGATATAGTCTCCATGCCAAAAACCCCTTCTCAAGTAACTTTTTGCTTTGGACCATTGGAACAGAGGGAAGTGCATTTCCATGACTCATCTGAATGACAGCATACTACTAGTAAGAGTGAAACTGCATCTTCCACAATTGCCTACATTTGAATGACAAGAACAGCTGTAGATTAAACATAAAGGTTTAGATTAAAAAAAAGTATGAGCATATATTACCAGTCACAACTGAAGGTCCAACATGGTTGCTATTTTTGATGGACTGGCTAGGTGTTTCAATGCTGCGACGATTGTTTACTCTTTCCTTGCTCGGTTCCGTGCAGCTCTGGCCGTGGTTGAATGCTCGGATTGAGAAAAACGGATAAAAATGTGCATAATCATAGTTACCATTAATAACGCTGCTGTGGTGAGTGCAACTCCTTTCCATGTTGACAAGAGTTCAGTCCATTTGAAGAATCTGAAGGTAGCATATGATAGGAGACTAAACCAAAATGCCACGACCTGTTCGACTCAAGTTAAATTATCAAGAAAGGCAAAAGTGAGATCCAGAATGAGTCATCTAATAGCAAACTCAGTAGGAATACTAGCATCTTTAGAGAACAAATTTATCACCTCAATTAAACAATCCATTCATTTTGTGCAAAGATGATTTCCATTGTCCAGTTTCTTTAATCAGACAAAGTTCAGAGCAAATAGAGAAGGAAAAAAACCTGGAATCATATCATATCATGATATTTGCAATCTTAGACTCAAATGCACAGTCCATATCATATCATGACATCTGCAATATTCGACTAGAACGTAAAGCCTTGGAATCGTGAGCTTCTCATAAGCAAAAGCATTTTCAGCTACCTCATTATTCTCCTAGGTCATAAACTATCTAGACTAATACACCACAAGAGAGCTGCCTCATCGAACAAAGTTTCAACTTGGAAAAAAACAAAGTTGGATAGAGCCTCAATTTAATCATTATATGATTTTTTTGATAATCCACTCGTGAAGAAAGTCCTGTTATTCTTCAGATATAAAATGGGACAGAGATGAGAAAAACATATCTACCATCATAATATTAGAAGACAATTGGGATCCATCTAAAACTCTATGCTGACATTTGCAGCTTCTTGGCTTTCTATCAACAGAGGCATTGTACAAAGACATACAATGCAACCCGAGAAAGCTGCTTTCTACTTGCTGAGGAGAGTTTCACCTTAGAGTGAAACAATTTGACAAACACATTATGATGTTGCAAGTTTACAATGTTAACGGTCTTATCTTGTACCAAATATTTTTTTTCTTTATATAACTTGTTTTATTTATACTGCCAAGATGAGTAATATATTACCAGCAAAGACTTCATAGGCCGACCAATTTGTCTTTGTTCAATGCCAAAAGTACCCTCTGATTGGTATCTATCCAGTAAAGCATCCTGCCAGAGAAATAAGTTCAATGATACAATGAAAGGAACACAGATAAGAATCGTAAAGCAGCAGGACATCATTGCACAAAAGTGAAACCAAGAATATGTGACTAAATTGCACAATTTTAATCACCTAATAGAAACAAAAGATCCTCAGAACTCTCGTAAAGCATTGTGAGAAAGAATACATGCCTTAGCCACAAATATGTCTTTACACCACTGTGCCACTCCCTCATCTGTTTCAGGCAGATCGGTCATTGCATGGCGCTTCATGTGGACATATACCTGCAATCACATAAGTCTTAGACAAGAACAAACTTGAAAACAGATTTTGTTATTACATGATACCAGTCCCTTATTTTTCTGTTTTTAATAAATCATTGATAGATCTTAATAGCTTTCTCTCTCACCTCTTCCCCTAGCCTCCTCCTCTTCCTTCGCCATCTCCTATTCTTCTCCTTTTCCACCTCCTCCTGTTTATCTTCCTCTCCTTCTCTTTCACTATCTCCTCCTTTTCTCTGCTCCCTCCTCTTCTCCTAGTTCTCTACTCCTCCTCCGCCGCCACCTCCTCCTCCTCTACCTCCGGATTGTCAGCACCTCTTTGTCATTCACATCACTGCCACTTTGTCCTCGCTGGTGTCACCGTTGCTGCCTCTTCATCCCCTCTTACCTCCCCCACCCCACCCCCTTGGGTGTATGTGCGCGTGCAGGGCCAGGGGAGTACCAAGTACCAACTGCTACCAACCCATTACTGAATGTTGTTACACATGTGTATGGTACTATACCTGTCTAGTTATGGACCAGTTTTGAAACCAAACCAAGAATTTAGTCCATGCCTTCTGACTTCTGATATACTTTTAACTTACATCAAATCTACAAGATGGCTATTACAGTAACATAGAAATATCATCCATCCAGTAGCAATCACAAATAGCATAAGAAATTAACTTTAGATCAAAATGATTAAGCAGTTCCAATGAGATCAACCATAGTTATACCCACAACTCAGTTCTCTCAGAAATTATCTAAACATCAATTTCCATAGGAACACGTACTTATCTTAAATTGATAACAGTTCTCTCATAAATTAACTAAACATCTATTTCCCTAGGAAACCTTGAACTTATATTAAATTGATAACCATGATACAGAAGTAACATATGCATATCAATCACATGTTACTCAGTGTAGCCCTATCAATAATTCTTTGCTCCTTGACATCCAAAATTTCAGAATCTGAGTTTCTTGGCCTTCAAATAAATCCAAGTATTTTTAGATGCATTGCCTAAATGCAACAGTGAACTGGGTTAGGGAGACACATAATGATAGTGCATAATTTAGGATGCATACCACTGAAGATTGCCCTTTCAGAATCCTAAGCATCGTTGGTGGAGGTTGATCAGAAGGAATAGCTACTGTTACGTCATAGATAGCAGGAACAAAGGGGCGCATAATGCTTACTGCTGAAACAAAACCCTGAAGACTAAACACATGTCAATACATATATAGATATTTCAATCTATACTAATCAAACCACAGAGATACAAAAGAGTTTGCTATCACAATAGGAGATAAATATTGAGTATTCTGCTTTTGCATATCACCCCATCTTGTATCTAAGATATTCAAGCAATAGAGCTAGTTTCAAGATCATCAAACACAGAAATAAAACCAACAAAAGGAAACAGATTCTCATTGCAACAGTAATTTGTCAAAAACTAAAAACAACCTTGGTCCGGGGAATGAGAACATTCCTAGGGATAGGAAGACCTTGTGAAGCTGCATATTCTTGTGCTGCTATAAGTTTTGCTGGTGTAAAACGTGTCCCCTCAACAAACAAAGCCAGCCAAAATGGTCTAGGGAAGTCCTTCAAATGTTGTAAACCCAACTGCATGTCACAGAAACTCAAATGAAATAAAAAAGAACAAAATCAAGAAAAGTGAACAGAGTACAAAAGATGCAAATAAATAGTACCGTAAGTATGTTCTCATCCTTAGCCCAGCTTCTTTCAAGAAAGAGGTACTCAGTAAACCACATTGACCAACCAATAACCTGCAATGATGGTTCTAGAGAACTTAATATCAGAACACAGACTATTATGTAATAAGAGGATTACTCTAGAAACTTCAAATGGACACATAACAAATGACTTTGTACTTCGCTATGAAAAAAAAATCTATATTTAATGGCCTTGTGGGTACCAAGCAAAACAGACTAATAATATAAGAAAAAAGTAAAAAAAAACAGAAAATTAGGGACACAAACCAAATAGATAAAAAAACAGGTCTAGATATATCCAGGGGTTGTTGCTGATGGGAAAAATGAAACTGTAACCCTGTCATTAGTCAGCACTCTCCCGAAGCACAAGATTGACAATTGACAATAAAGTTTTTACTTAAAAAAATGATGCAATTGTACTAAAGCACAGAGATCGCTAATGGTCAAGAATACAGGAGTACATTTTAAACTTCAAAGAGTATTTTTGTTCAATATTGACAGCGGTGGCCAACTCAACAAATTTAAAACTCAATCATAAAGTTGCTGGAGACACTTACATTCACTTTTGTAAAGTCAAGTGAATTAGCTTGATACTTCATAAAAACATCATTTAAGAGTGCAAGCTTTTTTTCAAAGGACTACTTAGAGCTATAGCAAGCCCCTGTCTTTTACCATAAACAGTAACATGTCTTGACTGAATTCCTTGAAAAAATATCCAAGATAACTGTGGTCCAATTTTATAAAAACATCAATCTAGCTGAACAGAATAGCATAAAACAAAAATAAACAACCAGATACTTCTCATCTTATCACTTATATCATGTTATATAGCTGCCACCACCGTTTCAAGGCACAAGTCTCATTTCGCCTCTCTCTTGTGATTTGCTTGTGGCAAGAAAGAAAGAGAAAAAAAGATTAAAACTTTTTTGATATTCAAATTATTAATTGTTTTCATATTTCAGCTGCAGGATGAAATATAGTTTTTTTGGTCTTGACAATCAGCCAAAATGACATCTATACCAGAAGGCTGGTCCAGTAGATCAAACCAATGATGCCTACAAAAATTGATTATGTTATAATAATTTGGATAAGAAAGACAACAGCTTCATCATAGATGACCTAGTCCAGAAGAACTGTTTAAATGTGAAGAAAGAGACAAATGCCAAACTTTGTTACTTATATACTCACTGGCAGAAACTTCGATGATTTCTTCATCACCGCTAAAGTGCTTCCAAGGCAACCTGAGCGCTGAGGTAAGGAATAATTAAAAGAAAATATACATGTCAATCGACAATGACAAACAAAATACTTTAGTGCGTTGTTTTCAACCACATAAATTCATGACCAACAAAAGCATGACATGCATAATTGGATTAAACCTAGCCGAATTATGCTTAATCTTGTGTAATGCACAAACAGATACAAACCTGAGATAAAATCCATCCAACAAGCCAATCAATGTCACTTTTGTGGTTGCAAATGACAAGTGCATGCTCCTTACCTGTAACATGTTTTAAGGTTAATGACAATGAATAATATTACTACACAACAGATCAGACCCCCCAAAAAAACATTTTTATCTCTGAGAACATCCTTACTTTCCTAATAAGAAAAAGAACAAAAAAAGAAAACAAGATCTTACCCATCAATTCATAAGTTTTAGAATCTGCATATAATTGGACCTGCAACCATGAAAATACATTATACATGTTAAACCTTTAGATATAGATATAAGCAGCATAAATCTCTTGGTTATAAACAAGTATAAAAATTACATAGCACAACAAAATTATCAGTACTATGTTACATCAGTACTGTAACTAACAAACCAAGACAAGGTAACGAAAATCTGCCCTATCTGAGCTTCTGGACCAAGCTAAATAGAAGGTCATCACTTGCATTAGTTTTCGGAAATAGTGCATAACAAGGTAGTCAAGTCAACTGCTTCAGTAATCATAACTTGCGCTAAATTTAACTACTATATTTTTTGCCTCATCAACCCAGCCTAGATGTGAAAATTATAGCTGCTAATCAGCCTTTAAAGGACCCCAAACTATGCTGAAATGCCGTGCTACTCAGCCTTTATTCTTGCTTCCTCGCTCCTTCTTCCTGTCCACTTCTGTGCCTATTATCACTCAAGGTAGAAAGGGACAATCCTACTAGTCAAGATAGCAAGAGAGAGTCCCTTGCTTAAGATGTTGAAGCAAACATTCATGGGGATGACCCTAATATACCAAAAAATGTAATAATTCACACACCAAACAAGTCATGGTACTACCAGAGATGGTCATATCGCAAACAATAGCCAAAGATATCTGAAGATTTTAAGGAAGTTTACCTTAACACCAGCCCACCAATCGACAAGCCAGATGAGCTGGAGCCATAGTAATTCAGCCACCACTCTGTTAATCCTCCTGAAGAGACTTTTCGAGAAAGGTCGTATTGTGATGTAAATTGTCGCCTGCAGGGGCAAAAATCAAAGGTAGAAAACAAGGACGCTCGCAAAAAATCTGAATATGGAAAAAAAAATCAAATCTTTCGAAAAATTAACATAGCAATAAAAAGAATAGAAGAAGATTGGAAAAATAGTGAGAAAAATACTCAACAGTCCAAAACTACGGGGAAATATGCACTTGAATCAGCCTCTAATTCATCTTATAACCAAAGTACAAGGAAATCATAATGCCAGACCAAACTAAAAGCCCTAACCCCAACTACGAGCCATAGCTGTTCGAGAAAGAACTCCATGAATCCATCAAATCCAAACCACCAAACCGCACAAAAGGAAACACAAACCCTCAAACGATAATATCAGGTATCGAAAGGAAAAGTAGGCCCACCTGAATGAGGTTCACAATTAGCCCCGACAGGAGGAACAGAAGGCCGAGGGGCACCACCACCAACGCCGCAGCCATTGCCATGGCCGAGATCCGGCGGAAGAACAACAATCGTTTCCCCTTTTGTCAGGAACCAACCGAACGAACAAGAACGGGATAAAACCAGGGATTATTTTGGGTTTCTTGCGCTATCTTCGCTGGGAATTCTCCCCGCCGACATCAGGCTCCGACGCAGCCACCTCACGCAGAGATCGGGGGGCCGTTGGAGATTTACGAGACGACGAAAGACCAGAAGAGGAGGGGCGAGACTCCGTGTCTCAGCCGAAAGATACAACACGAGAGTCTCGGATTTCTATTGGTCAGAATTGCGGGTCCCAGGAGAGTCGACCCGTGATGACGCAATAATTATATATCAATTTCACACAATTCAACGAAGTGCTATTATTTGCTAATTACAATATCATTGATAATGGTTTATCCATATATATACATATATATATAATATTAAATTACACGCCCTACATACGTACATACATACATATATATATATATGTATATGTATACATATATATATATATGTATATATATATATATATATATACATATATATATATATATATATATAACGTTGGAGGGGTATGTGTGTAATTTAGAAAATAAGGGATCAACATAAGAGGTCCGAGAGGGCGGTGAAATAAACCTGGCGAAACCTCAAATCGTTTCGTCTCCGCTGAAACCGATGGATCCATCGCAGCAGCAACAGTGGGTGCAATCCCACCACCACCAAGCTTGGGCCGCCGCAGCCCCCCCCACCACTTCTTCCCACGGATACCACCAGCCGGCCACCCTCGAGGAGGTCCGTAGCCTATGGATCGGCGACCTCCAGTACTGGGTCGACGAGAGCTACCTCCACAACTGCTTCGCCCACACCGGGGAGGTATCGCTCGTCCCCTCCTTCCGTGATTTGTTTTAGCGTTTAGCCCTGTTCCCTGACTAGCTTTTTTTGGTCTTGAAGTCTCCTTAGGGTTTCCGAAGTGCCGAATTACGGATTGCGTGATGGTTGCTCAGCCTCTAGTTTGCGTATATGTTGCCATTCTTTGTATTAAATCTGGGAGTTAAATCTCTTCCCCTCCTTTCAAGATTTCCTTGAGGGTTTAGTCCTGACACCAAACGAGTTCCTGGTCTTGAAGTTTACTTAGGGTTTTTGAACTGTGAAATACGAGATTAACGCTCAAATTTTAGGTTACTTAGCCTCTAGTTTGCTTATATGTTGCCATCCTCTGTATCGTACACGGGGAGGTAACTCTCGACCTCTCCTTTCGTATTTTTATTTAGAGATTAGCCGAGCCCCCTGACAGGTTTTTGGTCTTGAAGTTTACTTAGGGTGTACGAACTGTGAAACACTAGATTAACACTCAGAAATTAGGTTACTTAAATCTCTAGTTTGCTTATATGTTGCCATTCTTTGTACTTGATTATTTTCGTCAAGGGACGTTTTTCTTGTGTACTCCATGCGCTTATGATATGTGGACTTTGTTAATTTTGATGCGAAATGTTTCCACATGTCCAAGATTTAAAGCTGCAGTAGTTTTGAGAAACAATGGTAATTGTCTTTATTTGGTTCCACAGGGTATCCATGTCATTGGATCAAATGTTGGTCCATCTCTTTAGCAAAACTTGTCAATCCTTGTAGATTCTTCTTCTGTCTAGGTGAATTGTGACTTTTAGGCTTGCATAAAGTCCCTCGTTTGCTTAGATTGGCCTAGCAATTCACTATTCAAACCATCTGCTTTGGAGTTATGATGTTAATTGTCAATTGATCGTGAATGTTTTCCTCCTTCTCGAGACAACCTTCTTTATTTCATCTTCATGCTGCTGTATTTGATGGGGGAAACCTTGGATAACTGGTGTCTGGTTCACTTGGCATGGGGTTAGGTTACTCCGTTGCACACTTGTAGTTTCTTGTTAGTACCTGTAGGTTTCACTGTTATCACTTGTTTATGCTGCTATTGCCTATACTCTGTGACTTTAGGATTCTATGAATGAAATTTTTTACTTATAATTGGTGAAAAATTGTCTACGTAATTGCAGGTAGTATCAGTAAAAATTATTCGCAACAAGATTACAGGGCTTCCTGAAGGGTATGGGTTTATAGAGTTTGTTTCACATCCGGCTGCTGAAAGAATTCTGCAGACATATAATGGAGCTCAAATGCCTGGCACAGAACAGACTTTTAGGCTGAATTGGGCCTCCTTTGGAATTGGAGAAAGGCGCCCTGATGCTGGACCTGACCATTCCATCTTTGTGGGAGATTTAGCATCTGATGTGACAGATTACTTGTTACAAGAGACATTTCGTGCCAACTATCCATCAGTTAGAGGTGCCAAGGTTGTCACTGATCCTAATACAGGACGTTCAAAGGGTTATGGTTTTGTTAAATTTGCTGATGAGATGGAAAGAAATCGTGCAATGACTGAAATGAATGGTGTCTATTGCTCCTCACGGCCCATGCGAATAAGTGCAGCCACACCTAAGAAAACTACTGGTCTCCAGCAACAGTATCCGGCTGCAAAAGGTAATTTTATGTGACATGGAATATTTTTTACCATGCAAAAGCAACACTACAACACAACTCTTGGAAAGAAAATAAGGAGTATGCAAAGAATTCACAACTAGTGGCAACCTGGGTATATAGCTGGTTGGTATGCTTGTTAAATTTTTAAATGGATGTCACTTTGTTGTGTATGTTTTTGCTGATTATGTCGGTGTTTTTGTTGACTTTTCCTTCTAATCTTGATCTGCTATCTTGGCCTTTCAATCTTTTATGTTATGCTTATACCGACAAGGCCAACCAGTTTTTATGTATACATGTGTTTTTGGCAGCTTTATATCCAGCTACGACATATACAGTGGCACAGCTGCCACCTGTTCCACCAGACAATGATATCACAAACACAACTGTATGTAATTTGTATCATCTTCAGAATTTATTCATCTTCTATACTGGAACAGTCTTTAACTTTTCTGTTTCTGTCACAGATATTTGTTGGTTGTTTGGACCCTAACGTCACAGAAGAGGAACTGAAACAAATATGTTCTCAGTTTGGTGATATTATATATGTGAAGATTCCAGCTGGTAAAGGATGTGGCTTTGTGCAGTTTGTAGCTAGGTAGGCTGGAAACTTGTGAAGCATCATGTTGTCTTTACTGCATTAATTTTAACAAGATGATCATCTATCTATTTGTTATCGCACTAATCTAAATAAGTTGACCATCGACATTATTTATGTGGTAGCTTCATTAGGTTCGAGTATCATATAATTTGGAACATTCTTAAAAAGGGCATTACAATCTTATATCTAACTATGACCTGAACATTCAGATTATTGAATTTTTAAATATTTTGGTAAGAAAATTTACTTACTATTAATTGTACAATTCTACTTGCAATAAAGTCCCAGGAAACACATTAGTGTCATACTCGTGCTCATGGTTCCTAGGTCAAGAGGTTTTAATATAGCTGGTACTATTTGGGCCAAGGCCGTATTGGTCAGTTTCAATAAGTTTTTAGTATAACTGGAACTTTTTGGCCACAGCTGGTACTCATGGACTTTTTTATAAATATCTTCAAATAATATCAAGTCGAAACATTTTGAATATTCCAAATGGCGTATTGTAAATGAAAACCACACCATCTTAGAATACATTTATGTATTGAGCATGAAATTGGATGTATGTATTTCTTATGAACTTTTAAAGCTTTTGTGAACATATTTATGAATGATTAAGAGTAATAGACTTGGTGCCAAGGTAAACCCACTATGATATGGATGACCTGGTTTTGAGTGATTAAAGCAGTTATCCGCTTCATGGATCACTTTGCTTGAATTGGCCGTTGCTGCAACCTGAATTGATAGGAACCTTGTGCACTAGCGGCCTCTTTTTATCTTGGTAACTTGGAAAACTATCAAAAGGATTGAGTCAAAATACGAAGAAAATTTAGTATTTTGAACCTTGGTTGTGACCTTAGAGAATTATACCTAGTCTCTTGACAACATACTTGAACTAATTTGTTTCTTGCTCTACTTCCTATTTTATGATTATAGCAGTGTTACATGGACATTCACATCCACCTCTACATATTGTATTGATTATAGTATGGTGTTAAATTATTTGATATTTCTAACACCGCCGATGAATATACTTTATGAACTTATTTTCTCTAATGCTTCCCATGACATTATATATCCTAATCTGAGTCACTTGTCTGTATCTCATCATATAATGTCATCTCAGTTGGTAATGAATTCATAAATTCTCTAATGAATCTTAATCATTTCACAAATAAAATAAAAAATTATTCCATTGTTTTGTTTTATAGGGCATCTGCTGAGGAAGCAATACAGAAGCTTCATGGATCCATGATTGGTCAGCAAATCGTCAGGCTTTCATGGGGTAGAAGTCCAGCAAGTAAGCAGGTAAATCATGTGGTTATTGCTACCGACTTACGTTCCCTTTTTGTTGAGGATAAGTGTGATTGAACTTTTTTTTTTTGTTTTCAAAAGTTGTCATTTATCCTGGTCATAAGTCAGTGATCCCTAACTTAAGAAATATAGGTCTTTAGTCTATAGTACTTGTATAAACAACTTTACTCTAATTCTTGTTTCATTTTCTTGGGAAATTGAATGAAGCATGCATGATAATTTCATTTGGCAGTTTGTTACTAGATTATCCACAAGTGTGATTGCTTTTGTTGCAGCATTAACAATCATGGTATGCATTGACATCTAAAATTTCTTAACAGGCACATATCTTTTAATTTAAGGAGTGTTTTGTAATTGACATCAAGCTTTTTACAGAGGCATATTACATCAGTGTATGCTAGTATTTGTCAAGGTGCTGACGAAAGATGGCTACAAATTCTTTATTTTCTAGATAAGCATGATAGCATATTTGATGTGTAGTGAGACCTTCTCTGACATCCTTATGCTTTCAGTGGTTTTGATGCCCAACAGCCATGAGGTTGTCAGTTGGATGTCATAAACTATTAATTTCAGCCCTTAGTATTTTGTTACTCAGCTGATTGGCAAGGCTTATGGTCTTCACTCCAGCTCTTTGTCTATGGCTTCTAATCCTCAATATCTTGTAATGAATTGATTGACATAACTCATTAATCTCATTTGGGCTTGCACCAAACAATGTGAGGTTGGCAACTGTGACCATTACTTTAAGATGAGAAGGCGACAGTAGAAAGTTGATCAGAACTTTGCATTTGTAAGTCAATCTCTATGTTAGCTTCATAAGAGCTAATTCCAGTTCCCTAATTGAAAAAATGAAAGAAACTAAAGACTTGATATTTTTTGGTCTAGTTTGCTGTTGTTTAAGTTGATGAAACATGAAGGAAACTCTCAATTTCTGATTTGAAAGCATCTAAACACGGGGGATACTGTAATTTATAATGTGATATTCAAATACTTAGTTATCCAAGTCTTTTGAGGCAACTATATATCAATCAGTATGACCAGTCAACTAAGGAAACAATGCTCACATCTAGAAAGGAGAGAGTTGTTAATAGTTGATGTGACTGCCATGGCAGATTGATGTTTCTTTAGGTTTACATCAATCTCACATCAGTGCTAAGGAAACAATGCTCACATCAGTATGGCAAGTGCTGTAAGATCCATCACAATAAGTTAAAATGGAAATATTGGAATATTTTTCATTTTCATGATTTTAATTTCCTTAGGTCATCATCTTGTAGCATCATGCCAAATTATCTAATATTTTTCTTCCTTTTTTCTTGACAAAATAAAATTGCATGTCCACCTTTTGATATGTTTATTTTTCAGAGGCAAGTGTCAAATCATGTGTCCTTATGTTCTTCTATCCAATCATTTTGCAGGACCCGACCATGGCATGGAGTCAGCAAGCGGATCCTAATCAATGGGCAGGTGCTTATTATGGTTATGGTTATGATGCATATGCATACGGAGCGTCTCAAGACCCGTCCTTGTATGCATATGGAGCTTATGCTGGATATGGTCAATACCCTCAACAGGCAAGATTAACCACCTTCTATGTTCTCTTCCACTATCTTACTTGCACATATACTTATTAGTTCCAACTGCATGGTTGGATTCTCTTATGGATGTAGTTTTTCGATAAATTGGTTATCTGTTATCTCGTCAGTTTTACTGAAGTGATATTAGAAGATATTTAATATGCTTTTTTGGAACATATCATTGTTAATAACTCATTCATCTAAGTTCAGTATCTTCTGATTCTTAAGATAGGATTAATATTTTTATAATAAATTATTTGTTACAGTAAGTTGATGGATCCATATGCAACTTGAACAAATTGATAGCTCTCTCTTTCTATCCCTCTCTCTCTCTATTCCTTTCCATGTCTCCCTTTTTGATGTTATTTAGCCGTTTGACCATGGACCAATAATAGACCATATGGATTAGGTATTGGTCGGTATTTGATTGTTTATCATTTTTTTCATATAGGTCAGTATACTACCCTGGTATAACGGTACCATGTCAATCCATCCGCTTTCCGAAACTGCGATCGACCAATATTCAAAACCTACACATGCCATGATCCTTTGTTTCATCGTACATGAACAATAATAATATGTCCCATGGTACTCGATTTTGATGTGGTGAGGAAGTGGGTCCGACCTTTGGAAGGGCAAGGAATAAGAGGTCTGCTGCTGCTGTGCTGCCTGTTTGGGTATTGATAAGAGAACAGGTAAATGCAGGATTAGGCACATCATCATCCCAAAAGTAATTCAACTTCAATCCAGTATTGTATGTGCGGGCACGTAATTTGCCCAAAAGAGACTCGTCGTGACTTAAAAAAGCTCTTTTAGTGGTTTTTATCTATCTTTTTGTGTTGTTCGTACATCAAAAGCACGTCATATAATAATGCTTATTCGCTTGTATTTCTGGATCGTGTAGCCTTCACTGCTTAACATTTGTCTACGGTGTTGTTTCTTCCAGGTCGAATCTGTACCTGAAATGACACATATGGTTGGTGCAGTTCCAAGCATGGAGCAGAGGGAGGAGAACTACGATCCCTTGGCCATACCTGACGTTGACAAGTCAGTAGTTTTTCTTTATAAAATTTCTATGGCTTGGGTTACTGACTTTTTATTATTATTATTTATTTTGAACTTCCCCACACGATACCTGATAGTGTTTTTTCGATTAACTCTAGGTTGAACGCTCAATACCTCGCAGTTCATGGAAACGCCATGCTGGGGAGGCATTTGTGGTTGAAGACCTCCCTGTCTTAAGCAGATATTTTCTGTGTCTCTGTTGAACAGCGAGAGTTAATTTATGGATCTGCTTAAAAGAGCAAAGCAAGCATGGAGAATGAGCACAAAGTGTGGCGCATGATGGTAATCTCATGCAGGTTCTTCTCATCCGTACCAAGTTTCTTCTAGCTCACATACAGACGAAGAAATATGTCCGAATTGGTTGAATGAATTGTGCTGCTGAGTACCATAATGGCCTGGCCTGGCCTGTATCTCGAATCCTTTCTTTCCCTATCGAATGCTATGCTGTGATATCGCAAACTTTGGTTCAACATCTACATGGCTTTAAGTGGCAATTTTCAGCCCGTTGGTCAAGTTTATTTTGCTTTTGTATGCACACACTCTTCACTCTCTTGAGGAACATCATCATAATTTCTTATGCTTTTGGGATATGCCGTCTGAGTCTGATGAGGTCTTTAAACCTGGTTTAATTTATAATAATTTCTTATCCCTTCGATTAATCTATAATGACTACAACAACGGTAAAGGTGATTTAATTTCAACCGTCTGTTCTTATCCTGGTATTCATCAGACTTTGTGCCTTTCATGCTTGTAACTACCAAAACTTCATCTTGGGGATTTCAGAAAACTCTCCCTTTGCAACATTATGACATTTGCCATAAGAAAGTTTTTAATAATTACAATCGTATTTTGATACTTATATCAACTATTTACTTGGGACTTTCAGCGAGAAGGCCTGTGGGAATTAAACCAACAGCTTTGGTTCGATTCCGAATTGATCAAAAATAATAATAAAAACCAATTTTCTCTTATGAGCCATAAACTTACTCTTCCAACAATTAAATAAACAACTAATTTAAGAATATTTTTTTTAAAAAAAAACAATTCTGATTCAAAACGAAACTGAGATCGCTTGTAAATGCCAGTTCCAAATTCTGCACAACAGATTCTAGTAACGGGTCAGGCGGACCTGAGAAGGTGGCAAATACCATCGCAGCGTAGAGATATACATGAAGTGGAGACTAGAAATCTTCAAGTTACTAATAATAACACACCTTAAAGCATTAATGGTTCAAATAATCTGGAAAATATTTTGCCTACAACCAAATTTAGACTTTAGATGTCAAATTCTGATTGTTTACCTCAGCATTGGAAAATTTGGGTAAGCCTTATGTTGATATTGATTAGCAGCACGAAACCCAATAACAGGTGATCCACATTTCGTATAAATGATTTCTTCAAAACCAAGGTGGGGCCGAGGGAACATATTCCACCTTTCAGAACGGGGCATTTGATTCTGCAATATGCATTTCTTGGGATGCATGGAAATTAGAACGAGTTTTTCAAACAGCTCTTAGATTTCCCTCATCCATGTAACCAAGTCATAGCAGCGTCGTCAAGTGTCTACCTCCATCCAGCATCTTCCACATCAGCACAACCTGCAAGACAAAGGGGATATAAGCAATGCAGATCATCTTATCACTCGATGATTACAAAATTAATGAAACCAATAGATGAAAGGTTAATTGCCAGACAGAGAAAGAGAGAGAAAGAGAGCAAACAAAAAAAAAAAACAGAACAATTGCATTAATGGCTAACCCAGCAAGGATTTAACTACAGTATACAATCACCAATGGATGAAACAAATGCCGCTAGTCTAAACTACCAGAAGTTAATACTACTGCTGGAGCCTTACTCCCTGAGGTTCCAAATCCTGTTTTTGTTGATTTCAGACCAATAAGCAAAATTTAATGCTCAATACTAGCAACATCAAAATATCCATCTTCTGCATCACCAAATGGTTGGTTTTTTTTTTATGTTTGATCCCTCTTCACAAGTATACATTAAATATACTTCACAACCAACATCAGAAGGTACTACAAGAAAGTATCACTATATGTTGAGAAATAAAGCATTCAGGACTTGTGTTCTGCAAAAGTTAAATTCTAAGATCGTAACGTAAAATTTTAAAATCAATATAGCTTACATTTAATAAAAAGAAGAGCCCAGACTTTTGGGAATGAATAGTGGAACCGAGTAGCACCTCATCTTCTTTCCAGAGTAATAATTTATAAATACTTCGACAACCAAGGAAGTTCTGAGCAATCTTTCAAGGCAAAAGCGACATCATCACTGCCATAAAAAAAAAATAGAACAAGTATTATATCAGTTTTTAAATGTATCAAGCCGCTTGGTGCTCTTAACCAAATAACTCTACTACATTTCCCAAAAGAATGATGCTGAAGAAAGTAGCAAGTGTAATTTTTTTTTATACAAATTAATATAAGTCTCTGAAGCTCTATGCTTGACCCTGGGTCAAATCAAAGATAATAAGGCAGAAGGAAATGAGAATATAGCTGATAGTCTACTATCCAAAGGTCATAGCTGGTTGTTTCAAGGGGTATTGGTGTCATTACAGAATTGTTAAATGATAGACGTTGGAAACTTCCCATGATGCACACTAATTTCGGAAGTCCAAAACTTTATATACGAAGATCAAGTGGCAGCAGTAAAACATTTTCACGTGTATGTACAACCAAACTAAAATCAATAAACAGACAAAACCTTGAGTACCAAATTTATGACAATTACATCAATGATTTATAAAGTGCTTATAACAAAGATATTACTGTCCTAGTTGTATTAAAAAGATCATATAATTCTTTCTTATAAGTTACATTTACCGGACATAAAACAAGCGTTGTACCGTTTACAGTCTCCTATAAATTTCAAGGGCATCAGCATCATCTTCATCACCATCTTCATCAAATATGTTAACTAAACGAAGACAAAAAAATGGTAGTAGGAAAGAACATGGAAATGGAGGTTTAAATAGCTGGTTTTGGATCCGAAATTGATCGATCCAATCAGCTCCAACATAAGAGAGCACGAAATTTATAATCAGATGATCATGTAGGCATTAAATACCATTGAAAAACTTGATGCTCATCACTGTTATTACCCTCTATTAGTATCCTTAGGAGTTCTTATGTAAGATCATCTAATATTTCAAGAACTGTGTGCTTCACAAGATAAAAATCTGACAATGGCATTGTAGGAATACTGGCAGGTGAATTACATGCTAGGTTTAATTTTGCATAAATTCTAAAACTGTCAATTGAGCTAACATGCCCAATCTTATGATGCCATAAGCAATCTTGCAGTCAACCAATTTTCATCCAAAATTGCATACAATTTTCGCTGTATAGAACAGACAAAGCCATCTTCGTAGCCAGCAAGATGACTTGCAACTTCTGTATCAATATTTGGTCCAACAAGGTGAAGGAAGCTTAACTATAAAAAAATGAGGGTAACATGTAGGCCAAAGACCAGCCTCCCTCAAAACTCATTCAATGTTCTGCAAAACAATATCTACATAATTTTATCCTAAAAACAAACCAAAATTTCCAAGCAACAGAAGCTAACCTTGGGAAGTTGAGCTGCAATTTTTGCAACCTATGCTTTGTGCCTTCCTCACAAAGTATTATTCTACTCTCACCAAGCTTGCAACTGCAATAAGATCCAGCAGAACTTGGAATATTAACTTTCTAGATAAATGAGCAGGTCCACAAAGCAATATGAACAAGTACCTGATATAGCTAGCATAACCATAATACAACAACTGAAATTATTAGCGATCTTCACATCATAGTTCCACATTTTGTCTTCTAATGTTCCAGATCAGAAAAGCTTATATAAGCGGCCTAGCACTTGGCATTATTTTGCACAACTCTCTTTTCAATGAATGACTCAAATAATCATAACTTGTATGAGAATCAGATGTTAACTTAAACAGGTGCGAAATGACAGATATGCAGTTCTAAAAGTGAAGATTCAAATATTAACTTCTAATATTTTCCTACAGAAATAAGCAGCACTTTCATTGACAGTATCTTTTGTAGAATTAGCAGTCTGTTGTGGCATGTGTTATGTTTTCTCTATCATTTTCCACTTTCAATGTTTCAATACAATCTTTCTGCACTAATAGCATGCAAATTATTTGGGCAAAGATTAGGAAGCTAGCTACATATGCAAAATTTTGATTAATCCTTACCCAACTTTCAGGAGTGTATCCCATCCAGGTGATGCTTCCTTATTGCTCGTGCACAAAGAGGCAACAGTGGTAGCCAACTGCAGCAAGGAGATACTGTATAAGGCTAAAGCATAAACTGCAAGCAGAAAGAATAGCTCAAGGCAAGTACTTAACGGTATAATACACATTAGAAAGCAAAAAAAAGGAATATAAAGCAGAAGATGCACGATCTGCTTCTCTATTATAAGATGAACTGCAATTGGATTCTAAACATGCTTTTACAAAAGATGGTGCACTAAATGAAAACATCGGATAAAACACCTTGTGCTTGCAAACTACTGAAAGCAGTCGACTTGCTAGATATTAAGTTATTAACTAGTGCTGCACATGTGAAAAACATACATCTTGTTCATCGCTCATCGGTATTAGCAGACCACACTGTTTATCAAGAAGATATAAAGTTCTAATACAAATAAAGATATAGAATAAAAAGTCAAAAAATAAATAAATTTTCAATGCAATGATCTCATCAATAACTAGATCCACAAAATTAAACCTTATAAAAGCACCAATAAAAAAGAGCAAACAGGAGTAAAAATGAATGGAATAATGTGCATCTTCGTCATAGATCACACTCTACATATGATCTGTGGAAGGTTAGTTCAATTTAATAGAATATCCAGAACTGCTACATCATTCACTATCACAGGGTAACCATGAATATATCAACCGATTTTCATACAGAAAGACAACATTATTAAAAAACCATTCACATGAAAGAATAATTCAAAAATATTCGCTGCCACAGGGTAAACATGGATATATAACTAGTACTCTTGAGATGTTAAGATCATGTTAATTAAAATATAGAGGTTATTTCATCTTAACACAAAACAAACGGAAAAAGACAGACCTTTTCAAAGTTTGTTTCACCCAATCCACTTCTATAAAGTTCATAGACCATAGCCACCAAGAAAATTTTGCCGAGTCTTGAAGCAGTTTTCATTATCTGTGAGGCGGATAAATATCAGATTTAAAATGGTATCATGACTTACAGCAATAAACTATTTGAATCCTGAATATTATTCTTGGGCACATTCATGTCAAGTCAAATTAATATCCACCCATTACCATTTAAAACCATAGCTGTGACTAAGAGGAAAATATATGTTCAATCATTGAAATTTTTTACTTACTTGAATATGTGGTGCCTGAAACAATTCATGTATGGCAGCCTCTATATCAGCCATACCAACAAGCCGTTTTCCTGAATGTAAACCCAATGAAGCTCAAACTAAGATATATGTGAATGATAAATGTCTGAGATTTTGAAAATTGAAGTGTTAACAAAAAAACAACAAAACATTTAAGTATCCAAGTGGTTTCAACCAGACAATAGACACACTAAATATAACCATGTTTTGAAAATTACATACAATAAAGCACTAATTAGATACTGACGTACGAATTTTTTAAGATGAGATACTTCTTTATTTTTTATTTGCAGAAAATTCAATGCCTACTTCTCTAAGTACCTTCAAAAGAACCATCAACAGATTCTGATGGCTGTTTGCACAACGGTGATTGCTTGAATTGATAATCTGCTATTTCAGCTGCCCGCCTACATATCTCCAGTGCCCGTCTAGCATCGCCTGACATAGCTGCAACCTGATTGTATACGAAATGTTATGCATCACATATAACAAAAGTGTGAATATTAAGCAACTGCAGAACTTAACTTGGATGCATTGATATCACTAGATGCATTATTTTAGTCTAAAGCACTCACACATTAATGAATAACACATTCTTTACCTCATTGTCATTTGATGCTTCGGCTTGCGTTCATGACATACAAATGAATGTATCTCGATGAAGTAAAAATTAGGACTTACCCCTTTTAGGCTTATTACTCCCAAATCTAGAGAAATGTTAAAGGTTATATGATGGACTGGAAAAGCATAAACAACATCCATCATGATAGCTTAGCAACTACATAATCTATAATGAAATCGAATAAGATCTATGCTTATGAGATCTGACAGAAGTTATAGGTAGCGGTTGGCATCCTAACCCAACCATCAAGCTCCAGTGTTTTCTTACCGTCAGCCCAAACATGGAAGGATCAAGATTATTCTAGGTCATAACAGATGATGTAAAGTTAGTAAGGTCGCATAAGCATGGATCTTAATCTTCCACAAAGTCACATCATGCTTTATTTTTGTTCTTAATTAGCTAATACATGAATGGAATGCATTGTTCTATAGTATAAAATGCAGCAATCAATGTACTGATCAGTGTCCACATAATGAGTGTGCTCAAAATTCCATACTTCCAATACTCTGGTTATTGTTGAGTGCATGCATACTGGCAAAAAAGGAATGTGCCTAGAAAATGGTTGCTTGGTACATCAAAGAACCCCATGTCAACACCATGCCGTCAGACATGTGACTACTAGCATCAGTCGTGAACCCATAAATCCAAGCATTGATTTTTAAGTAAATTTCTGACTAATAAGACCTCCAAATGGTGTATGATGGTCATGAGATTACCTTCCTGGAAGCAAACTCAACAGCTTGTTCCTCAAATGCATCAAGGCCTTTAAGACGGCTAGAAATGATTTCTTGTAATTGTTGATAACTATAAGGCCCAAAACATAGCCGCTGAATCCCCATTCTGCTTGAAATGCGTGGCAATAACTTTTCAGGAAGATCCATAGTGTTTGCTATTCCTGAATATAATTTATCAAAAGAAAATATGCATTCATAAAATTAATTGAGATGAAAATCAAATAAAAGCAAAGAAAGAAGAATGACCATTTGATACCTATCACAACGAGCTTTGATTGTGGTTTAGTAGGCCAATCAAGAATGTTATACAAAACCTGTGTAAAAGATATAATTTAAAGTTTTAATACACTATCTATGAACCAAATTAACTCAAAAAGAATACTAAAAGGCTTCTTCTTCATCCAATATCAATCTTTGTGATGTTAAGAAGAAATAGATACATCAATAGCAAGAGTTACCGATTGGTTTCTAGTCAAAAGAAGATCAAGCTCATCTATAAGCAAAACACAAGGTCGAAGCTCATTGTTGCTGACTCCACCACCCTTGGAAAAACGTTCATTCAAAAGATGAAGAGCAGTTTTCCATCCAACCCTGTAACCACTTAGTGCTTCATAGATTACCTGAACTTAACGGGCATGTTTAGTTTAATGATCAAGATCGTACAATAAGATCAAATGGCTAGAAGAAAAGCTAAACCATACTTTGTAAATATTCTCTGGAGAAGCTAGTTTCAGACCATTAATATCTACAAAGGTATAGGGCCTCACAGTTCGTGCATCGACCTCCGACCTCAGATTTCTCATTGCCGCAAGTACAGACATAGTCTGCAGTTTGATGCATGTCAAGTGTCAAAAAACAATTGGACCATCTACTTTTAGCAAACTAAACAAAATTAACAGAATGCGAAAGCCATTAAGTCAAACTGCCTACCTTGCCAGTTCCTGGAACACCATGAATATAAAGGCAGCGTCCTGAACAATGATCATCAGAAATAGCACCTCTGATGAATGCAGTTATCTCTTCCATTTCTCTGATACATAAACTCCAAGTTATAATTAGCCTAAAAATGGCGTTAAAACAAGTGCAAATTAATCAGGTCATGATTACTTAGTCCTGCAAGGAAGTGATTTGGGCAAAGTTGCTAGAAGCAACATGGCTTTGGCCTTCTCCAAATCAGTCTGCTTAGAGCATCGTGCATGTTCAGGAATTCTTTTTATACCAATCTTTTGAAGACCAAATGTCCTTCCCTTGCGTATGTTCTGAAAGATAAATATAGAGTAAATCATCTGAATAGTATCCCGAAACAGTTAGGGTAAATTTGAAAAAAAACATACGGCTGCTGACTCATGTCTCCTCTGAGCAGAATGGTTCACCCTAGCAAGTTCTTCACACTCCGAATCTTCATCTGTATCAGGATCCTTGGAAATTTTCCAATCTTCATCACTTTCAACTCCTTTGTCATTCTAACATGAGATAAATAAAAGAAGCTCAAGCTTCGTACATGCTAATAACAGTCAAGTTTTCTCCAGAATGTCTACTTTATTCCAAGATCAAGCATACCTCAATGGCATCATCAATATCTGTTAGACGCTTGAAGTTGTGCCAGTGAATGTCATACTCATATTCACAATAAAATACATCATCTCCCTCATTGCTGGCTTCTTTATAGTTGTTTGGACTCATAACATAGCAATGCCGAAGGACAGACTCGATCTGCAGACAACCAGAGTTTCAGGTCCTTAGAACAAACAAATAGTAATTAATCCATGTCATAAGAAGATTTATCATCCAAAATACATATTGAAAAGAAAACATGATTGTTTAAAAAATGATAAAATATTATAAAAGTTAACATGGTGGAATTTTTGGGGCTCAAGTGCAGAACAACTAGTGATTTGACTAGGATCAAGTATATTGAGTCCAGGTAGCATCTCCAACTTTGTAGGACGCCAATATTCTTCTTGTTCTACATTGCAAAATTGGGCTTGATTTGATCGTAATTTACTTTTGATACTGGCATTCAATCACTCATAAATTTTGGTTTATTAACTGGATATGACATTCCACCAGATCATTTTGCCCCCTAGTCAAAATCCACTAGAAATTGAGTTGCTTTCTAAGCCAAAAAATCATTCTAATATGGCAGAAGGAATCGATAGATTTAATTAAGTATGATTGTTTGGGGTGGTCCTTAGAAATCTTGTTGCAATTCAGAATAGATAAGAGATTGTGAGTCATTTTTAGTTTGTCAATGGATTTCCATTTTGGGTTATTGAAAAATCTCTTTTCTAGCTAGCGCTATGTGTATGTATTCATTTTAGATTTCGTCAGGAATATAGAGATGGACCCAACTGAAGGAAGCAGCAATAGCATTAACCAGGCAAGATATCAAAAGAAAGAAAGGGCAGAGGAGTAGCATTTTATACCTCAATATCACCTAAATCATTTGTACGGTATAGTTCCCTCCGCAGGTTATGTGGCTGCCTCCCAACTGCAGTCTCTTCAGGAATTATGTACCACCGACATTTTAGCCAATAGGTACCATCTGGTTCTCTCCACAAGCTGCTCAAATCTCACAAAAAACAGAATGCTATCACTTAATTTGACAAGCACTAAATAGCAGTTTAAACACAAGATGGACCTTAGAAGATAATGCTCAAGGCATCAATGGTAACTTTAGAACCAACAACGAAACACATATGTAGTCCCCTGGTATCAGGCACTACCTCTCGATTCGAGCAGCCCACAAATCACTAGAAAGAAGCTTCTCCTTGGCAGTCCTCCTCATTTTCCTCCCCTCGGGAGGTTTCGGCAGCTCCACGTCTATACCCATCTTCCGCGCCTGGCAGAACCCACAGATCCAGTCCCCCTCCGGGATCTTCCTTAGCGGCGGTTCCAAGCACACGAGATGGAACCCCCCCAAGCAATCATCGCACTCGATCATCACTCTCCTGCCTGTCCGGAAGCAAATCCGGCACTCCTCCACTTCCGGGTCGTCATCGGCGGACTCCGGCGCCTCCTTCCTCTTCACGTACACGTCGTCCCCCACCTCAAACTCTCCGCCGTCGTACACCACCTTCTTGTAGTACACCCGCCCGTTCGAAGCTCTGGAGGGCTGGGATCGTCTCCTCCTCTTCGATTCCGGGGTGACAGGGGAGAAAGCGGAGGGCGGCTCGGTAAGCGGCGCCTCGTCGATCTGCAGCGACCGCTTGGCCTTGCGGGCAGATCTGGGTATGTCGAGGCGGCCTGCAGCCGGGCCGGGGGTGAGAGGTGATGCGAGGCCGGAAGCGGAGCGGTGCAGGCGGAGGGAGCGGCGCGGGGTGGCGGATTCCGGCGTCGGAGGGACGAGCGGCGAGGGTTTGGGCCTCAAGGGAGTAGATCTGGGCTTAGGTTTTCGTGGGGTGGCGTCCATTGCCGCCGTCGTCGATGAGATCGCGAGGGAGAGTGAGAGTGCGGGCCTTTTAGGGCTTTGTTTTGGCGGTCAGATGTGAGAGGAGAAGAGGTTTCAAAACACCGTGAAAGAGAGAAACGGTTTCCCAGGTAGCCGTTTCCCGTGATGGTTTCTGCGATGGAGTCGTTTCGGGAGGATGGAAAATGAAAAGGTTCGCCAAACGTGGAAATAACATATTACCTTTCCAAATAATGTTAGGATCATTCACGTATACACACCTCATTAACATCTAACCAAATTTAATTATATAAATACTTTAAATTTTTAATATTATTACTATCATAATATTTTTATCAACTCCGAATCCGTTCTTAGAATGCTTACACTTGAGAAAGAAAAAGTTCTTTGAATGCGAACCATAGGTCATAAATTAAAGTCTTCGTTCCTAAAAAAAAGATTATACATGAAATATATTCGGTATCTCTTAACGCTCATATTTCATTTGAGTCCTCATTCATGCAAAGGATTACGCGTGAAATACATTCAACGATATCTTTTATGATAATTTAATTTACTTAATAAAAAATACTTATAAAGAGCTATAATTTAGTTTAGTTAGTTCAATACGAAAATATTGATGTTGGCTTTATATCCATAATTAGTTGATATCATGTTAATATGGTATGTCAAGATGACACTTGAGCATCTCTAGGATACATTGGCAAACACACTTCATTATATATATGTTATTGGTTACACATGTGAAATGTCTACTGCGATCAAATTAGATATTAAATTTTAATTATAATTGATCAAAACTAACTATATACATCAGTTCAACTTAAATCTAGATTGGTAAATATGTATTATTTTCTAAAATAAATTAAAAGGGATATATAAGTGTGTGTGTGCAAAACCATATACATCATCAGTTCAACTCAAATACAGAGAGGTAAATATGATTTTTTTTAAGTTAAAGATATATATGTATATATATGTATATATATATATATGTGTGTGTGTAATATTGAAAAAAGGAAATTTCTTTCATCATGGTTGTGTAAGATTAAGAATACATTTAATTTGGTTGTCATCCAGAAGAGTTTATGAACATCAGTTCAACTCAAATACAGAGGTAAATATGAAGTTTTGACAGTCAGAAGCTTTGATGAGTTGATGATTGGGGAAGTAAAGGCCTTGATGAACTCCAACCATGAATGACCACACCTTTCTTACCATGCTTTGACCCACCATTGAACATTGATGCAATCTAAAAGCTTAACTTGCTAAGTTCCAAGTTTGATTTAACTAAACTCTTTTTTTCTTTATCTTTTATGTAATTTTGATGCAGCTGCTACCTCATCATCTTCATCTTCTTCCTCCTCTTCTCTTTCTGTTTCTTTTGCAGCTGCTTCCCCATCACCTTCTTCTTCTTCTTCTTCTGCTACTCTTTCTGTTTCTTTTACAGCAGTTGTTCTTTTTGTTGTAGTAACTGCTTCCTTCCTGCCATCACCATCTCCTACTTGTCCTCCTCCTTTCTTCTTGGCTGTGGCTGTAGCTTCTTTTGCTGCCTCCTCCTTGGTTGAAACTGGAGGAGTAGGCTGTTGTAGGTTTCCATGAACTCAAACAGTGGTGTGCATGTTAAACCAGAGGTTGTAACCAAAAGCATGCAAAAGTTTCCTAATCACACTTGAGTACTGTCCCAGTTGAAAAGCAAGAACTTAGCAAGGATGTATAGACTTTTTGATCACACATGAGTCTAATATTGCATGCATGAATGCATGCTAAGTAAGCCATTCATGATCACTGGTGAGCCATCTTGTCATGGCTGCTCTCTGCCATATGATCTTCCACCCAAATGAATTGATAAAAGAGAAGTTGGTCTCATCTGGTCCAATTCCTTGGCCAATAAGTGAAAAGTTGGTCTCTTTGGCACTGCACAAAAGTCATAAGATTTGAGCTCCTGACACTGTCACCAAAAAGATATGTTTTAACTTCACAAGGACCAACTGAAGCTACATGTGTTTGCCATGGTGCCAAAGCATGGTACAAGAGGGCCATGGGAAGTATCTGTTGCTTTTAGCTTACTCAAGATGCTTCTTGCACAGGGATCAAACTTAGAGGACCAGTCAAAAAAATTGATGTCATGAACACACAGTCTCACAGCCAACACTAAGCCAGAATTAGATGCTTATCTGTTCTTACCAAATTCTCTTTTTTCCTTTTGTCTTTGGGACAGAGGGCATCACTTGAATCTGGTAACTGCATATTACTTCAATTGTTTGCCTGAGAGAGAGAGTGTGTGTCATATGCTATACAAGATTCAATTTTATGAATATTATTATGATCTTATCACTCCCTATTTCTAGATTGTCTCAGCTCAAAGTTGAATTTGTTGGGAATGTATATTGTAACATATGAACTCTGCGTAAAATCAATCGTCTATTCGTATTATATAATTAAGTCAATTCGATCAACTTCTTGAAAGTCCTCATGACTCGAGAGTCAATTTATCGACGACACATATCCTAAGGAGCATAATTCCCCGTAGTAAGTTTATCATATCGTGAGCATCACCTATAAAACTAATGTCAATGGCAAATTAGTTTGAGATATAAAATTTTAGGTTCTAAATCTTCTCTTTATAAAGTGGTGAGAAGAATATTCCTAAAATAAATAAAAATCCTTCCTTCCCTACATATGCTGACGCGAACTCTGTATGTCAAGTTACGATTGATCGAAAACATTAATCGTAGCACATTTTAATCAATATTAGTGAATGTAAAAATTGAGACATGAGTTGTGTGATTAATATAGCTGATGAAGATCAAGATATGTAAAATGAAGAAAAACTAAAAAAGGAGTACAGCAAAGAAAATGGTAAAGCTTCAAGTAGAGTGGGCAAGAATTTAATAGCTGAAATCACCACATTCCTAAGATTGCAAGAAACAACTTCACCAACCACTGAGGGTAAAGCCTGAGTGACACAGGACTGACTCCATCCATGGCTTCGATAGATTGTCTCATGGAAGCAACCCAAGGGTTGGTTTTGTATGCATCTTTACGTAGTACGTGGACTTGGAAGCTTAGAGACTGTGTGTGTATGTATTCAACTAGGGAATTAGATTGCATGGCAGTCATGAAATCCATGCGTAGACTCCATGCAAAGGCTTGTACTCGTACATACTCTATTGTCTCATCCCCTTCCAAATTTATACATGTTCATGATGGCTCAGAGAGAAAGAGCTGAGAGATTATGTGAAGTCCAAGCAAATGGGCTTAGCTTCACAACAAAACAATCCCCTCTCTCTCTCTCTCTCTCTCTACCAACCTAAC